CACCCCCCCTATATGACTATGCATGTTTCTTCCTTTAAGCACACCCTTATAAGCCCATCAACTGACCTTCCTTGACCACTTCTGACTTCGGCTCTGTCACATTCTCTTCCAAAGCTCCCTCCCTCGCTCTCAATCTCCGAACTCGTCTTCAACCCTTACATACTCACTCTTGTTTTCTTCCGTATGAGCATACTAACTGACCTTCCTTGACCACTTCAGGCTCCGCTTCGGTGACGTCCTCTTCCGAAGCTCCCTCACTCTCTGCCTCCAATCTCGTCTTCACCCCTTGAATGCTCTGCTCACTCTTGTTTCTTCCCTATGAGCCTACTAACTGACCTTCCTTGACCACTTCGGGCTCCGGCGCTATCACATTCTCTTCCAAAGCTCCCTCGCTCTCAATCTCCGAACTCGTCTTCACCTCCGTCTCTCCCTTCTTTCCGAACAATCCGTCCAGATTCGGCAGCTTCAGCCATCCGAAAAAGCCGGAGCCTTCCGAGCTCGCGTCATTGGTCGAATTGTCGGAGCTTCCAGTGCTGCTCGCACGGACGACACGTATGCAATGTGACTCGCGACGTGGCTGACGTGGCACCTGCACGAAGGCGACTGCGCTGCGCAATGGCGGAGAACGCGCAACGAGAGAGGCTCGTGCTGACGTGGCTGCGGTGCTTAGTGGCCTCGACAGGTGACGGTTTATCGCATTGCATGGACTTATGGCTGCTGTTTGAGCAGCCGAGCAGGCGGCGCGAACGGCAGCCATTATTGCTTGCAAGTGAAGCAAGGACGAGACGTGAGGCAATCAGAAAATTTGAGGCAGTAATGCCAGTCTGACAAGCTGCTGAAACATGAACTTGCCTGCTCTCCCTAGATTGCTGATGCATTCAAAGAGTCTCGATCGACTAACTATCCCCGCTGCCGAATTCCTGATGTTTGGAATTCCAGCATCTGCAAACCTAATCTAGAGTGGGTATAGAGTGGTGGAAAACTTTAAAACGCGATTGCGAGTGGTGAAAGGGACTGTGGTATGACCTCGAAGTTGCCGTGTTTCATTACCATCCACTCGTCACTTTCCCTGGTGGAATCTCCTCGTGGTTCTAGGGCTGACGCGTGTTGGCCTCTGGATGGCTTGGCCACGTATTCATCTTCAGCTTCTAGTTCAACTTTATAGCAGATGTTTTTTGCGGTGTACACAACGCACTGCGTATAGGAGCTGGTTAGAGCGGATCAGCATGTAAAAGCACAGCCGGGCACGAGCTCGCATGTGGCTTGCAGTGCACTGGTTGCCACTTTGCCCACCACCATTGGTCAAGAGCTTCCAAAATCCTCCGAAACCACTGGAGTCGATTCCTATTTGCAGAAAAAAAGCCACACAAGCTTGCATTTTGGCTCACTCGCTACACGCAGCGGGCACAAATTTCGAGCCCCAAATCCAATAACAAGATTCCCGAAGCATGTCAATAACGAAGAGAACCCCCCCTTTCCCCCCCTCCGCCCTAGCAAGCGCGTTCCTCCACACTTCTTCCCCCTTCAGATCGTCTCCCTGTTTCCCCCTTTCTTCCATCACCCTCATCCCCCCGCCACAGAATTTCCCTCTGATCTATCCCCTCAAATCATAGCACACATGATCGGCTACAATATAATCTGTCGGTCTGATGCGGTGCACGGAGGTACATTTGGTTATTTAAAAATCACCGCTCTGAAACGCAAGGTAAGCTTTTGAACCGCGAGAATCCGTACGGTAACTAATTGCTCCCTTTTTTTTCCAGCTTCACATCCACACTTCATCCCGACAAACCCCCACTTTCTGCTTCTACCCCTCTAGCTCCCTACAGAGCTTCTAGGTTCCTGCTTCTTGAAGGCTAGGCCTTTCTTGAAGCTTGCACGGGCTTCTGGATCATCGTTATCCAGCTCCTTCTTCGCGTGCGTGCTCTTACACACGCTCTAGGGCTTGCATTAAGCGTAGCATACCTTAGCACCCATCTCCTTCTCCTTAGCACAAATTCATAACCATGTGGAGGCAAGCCGGCGCTCGCCTGTCACTGGTTGCGCGCCAATCGCTTCAGCGCAGCCGCTCCGCCGCGCTCCCCGCATGGAATAGCCTCGTTGCAGAGAGTGCGCCGGCTGGTGCGGGCCGGAGCGTTACAGACAGGCTCGTTCACAGCGGATGGCTCTCCCAGACCCCCTTCGCCCTCCGCGCAGCCTCCCCCGCAGGTTAGGGTTAGGATCGGAAAAAACAGAGACAAGTTAGATAATGAGATACTTTCTTTAGTGTAGATCTTTTGGGTTCGGTGTTTAAAGGTTACCATGAGCTACGTCTAGATTAATATGTAGATTTCGACCTAATATCTACTATTCCTTTAATCTACAAAATGCAGGGGCCACGAAGGACGTTTCTGCTGATCTGGAGCATGCTACTGGACTCGAGAGGGAGGAGCTGGCTGCTGAGCTGGAGGTACGCCTTTTTCTACAATAATAGTTAGACACTTCGATCCTTTGTAAAAACATCATTTTTTGAGAGGGAGGAACTGCGGAGCTGGAGGTAGAGTCAGGCTGATTAGACACGGCGAAGTTGTATTGCGTTACATTTCTGGGTTACGTCATTTTTTTTTTCCATGGGGAATAAGGCTTCTTGATTTTAGATCGGGCCAACTTCAGTCTCGTAGGCTTTTTTTTTTCATTCTCTCTCTGCCACGTATCATTGCGAGAGTTTTGTTAACCGTTTGCAAGCCGGTTCTGGTCTGCTTTCTCTACTGCAGGGAAAGGAGCGCTTCGAGCTGGAGCCTCCTCGCGGTCCCTTCGGAACAGAGGTACCTTGTAGGAACCTTATGTGAACCTGTAAAAATGTGTCGTTTTTCGCCATTTCAATGGTTTGCTGAAAGACACACAATGGTTCAACATTTTCCTTCATGGCTGGTCTGTCTTCCTTGCTGCTGTACACACTACCTCTCACCAAACCTCGAGGCATTGGACCTTGAGAGTCCGATGGAATTTGCGCGTAGCTTGCGCAGTCACCCTTGCGTGTTTCTTTTGCACGGCATGTCATCGGAGTCATTATCTTTTTTTATCTCATAATGTTCTGATTTTTGTTATTTTCGTCTCTGTCATGCTTTTTTATCCACCTTTCAAATGTGCTCAGGATGCTCCTGCGATTGTGGAGGCTCAGTTCGACGAGCGTCTCGTTGGCTGCTCTGGCGGGGTTGGCGGTGAGTGATTCTTCGAGTGACGTCCTTTTGAGGGGCCAAAATCTATCGTGTTTCTTGTTCAACCCCGTTTCTCGGTCCATGTCTCAGACAGTTTCCCTGACAGTGTTCCCGTAACCCGACCGTCTACCAAAGCCCGGCATGATGTAGGCTGGGTCAGGCTCATAAAAGAACTTAGTCGTTCCGCAATATATTGCGTCTGTCATAGCGGATGAGCACGAGCACGATTCCTTCACCATTCTCCATTCTCCATTCGCTTTCATCTTCACGATTCCTCTTCTAACCTTGAGCAGAGGAGGAGCATGATGTCGTGTGGTTCAAGCTGGCAAAGGACTCCAACCACTCCTGCAGCGTCTGCGGTCAAGTCTTTAAGGTGATAATGGTGGCAGGAACAGTTTTGTTTGCATTATTCGCACAACGCCTTCAAGCTCCATTCTGTCCCGTCTTTTCTTTCTGGATTTTTTCCTCTTATATGTGATTATTTGTAACACCATTGACGTCGTGTTCCCAGACCATCCCATCTGATTCTTTGGTCGGCATCGCCATTGTGAGAAGTGCTAATACCGTAACCTGTTATTCTCTCTTGTTACCCTATTTCTCTTCATTGCCTGCAGCTGAAGGTCGTTGGCCCAGGAGGTATTCCCGGCCACCACCACTGATCGGCTTGCTGGCTGGCGGGTAACAAAGCACCACCGTGTATCACAAGTCATTGTAATGAGATGACGGTTGGGTCATCTTCTCTCAAGACCTTGTGCGGATTGACTGCTCAGGAAGATGGAGCAGAGATGAGTTAGCCTTGCAATTAGGGCTAAGATTTCTCAATACTAAAGCCGGGAAAGACCGTATTAGGCATGTCAGTCACGTTCTCGTCGCGCCACCTCTCGCCATCAGTCATACTCCATTCCACCCGCTTCCATATCAATCTTCATCCATCGTCCTCCTGCGCATCCACCTGTTTCTGTCCTAGTTAGGACTCAGTTGTCAATAGTGCTTGTTAACTTGTTGCAAATGTAATGAATATGCCAACTGGTTTGAATTTCTCCTGTCCCGCATCTGCCATGATACTGTGTACGGTGTACCTCATGTTCTGAAATACCTTCCAACATGGCAAGTTTTGCAGCTACAAAGCACCCGCTACAAACAGGCGAAACCACTTTTGAATCTACCGGTACTATGTGGCATGTGTTAGGGCGTGTTCCTACGGCCCCTTATCAAGTGACCTCTTGTCAGACTTGTGCTGTTCAATGCGTTTCAATGCGATCGAATGTTGTTACGTGTGTTTTCAGTGCAGTGCGACGCGAATCTGACAAGAGGTTGGCCTGATAAGAGGCCATAGGAACATGCCCTTAATGTGCCTTTGCTATAATATACATGGCAATATAGCCCTTCTGAGCTGCGGATAGTCAGGGAATTTTGCGATATAGCGTTCATGGGTTTCTAATGCAGATAAAGTCAAGTTGGAAACCTGCAGGACAACATGCCGAACGTTTGAGAGAAAAGTCAGAGGATACAAATGAGATGGAAACAAGGGGAAGAGGAGCAGCAGAGGGACAACCAGACCAGACACCCACACAATGTGAATCCATGAGCAGAAGTGTGCTGCTGTGCGTGCCCACTACAAGGTAAAATGGGGTCGGCATGTCAGCATACCATACCAAACATGAAGAAAAACTACCGATACACATAGCACCCATGGAAAGATGAGCAACAGCATGGAGTGCGGTGCATACAAAGCCATCAGAACACGGAGAGAGCACAGCAATTTCGTCTACACCCAAGTGTGTAAGAACAAGTTGTACTTACCACCCACGCAAACATGAGCAGCAATGTTGAGTCAAGTATCCTGGATCCAAGTGATAGGAGTAAACCCAAGTATATCACCTGGTTGTTGTGGGAGAGAGAGAGAGAGAGGAGCGAGAGCGAGAGCGAGAGAGAGGACATTATTGACGCTGACTTGTTTCACTTGTCATCAAAGTTACAAGACTAAGCCTAAGTATACCTCATGTGTAAGAAACGACAACATCAGCAAAGGCTGACTGTACAGACTGTATCAGCTTTGATGAACAGTTACAGGCATTGCAGTTTCTTTGAGCGCTTACTGGTTATCACCAGTATTAGAAATACTTACAATCTCTGCTAAGTAGTGTGGGCATGAGACGTGAGTGAACCAGTCCCCTTGAGGGATGAAGTAGCCCTTCTTACCCCCTTGCCTCAAACTGGTCTGGACGAGTGAAGAGGGAGAGAGGAGGGAAAGGAAGGGAAGGGGGGAGAGAGTAGGGAGGCATGGGAACGAGTGTGGGCATGATAATGCGTGAACCTGCCTCGTTGAACCACAAAGGGGCTCTGGCATTTCCATGGGTACGATACCAGAGATATTTTGCAGGGACATGCAAAAAAATATTCATTGGAGTTTGAAGCACTTGACGGCGCTTTAAAAGCACTTGGTAGTGGTGCAGTGCGGTTGTGGCGCTCACCAGGATGGCATGGCAACGGGGCTGGTGAAGATTACCCCACGGGAACAACCGCGAGGTGCCCGCAGCATACACATACAACCACTGAATGCTTTGCCTCGAACTGTCTTTTGAGGCGCCTCAAAAGTCGGGAACAACCGTGAGGCGCCCGCAGCATACACATGCAAGCACTGAATGCTTTGCCTCGAACTGTCTATTGAGGCGCCTCAAAGTTGAGAACAACCGTGAGGTACCCGCAGCATACACATACAAACACTGAATGCTTTGCCTCGAACTGTAACTATCACCAGGATGGCATGGCAACGGTGCTGGTGAAGATAGCCCCACGCAAACACACTCCACCGGACCTTGAGGCACCTCAGTGTAGACATATCAACACTGAATGCTTTGCTCCTAACTGTGTAGCTTACCAGAATCGCATGGCAGCGGTGCTGGTGCAGGTTGCCCCACGCGAACACTGCTGCTCCAACAATATGGCATGCTATGCTTATGACATCAGCACCAGTGGTGGAGAACGGTTCAGAAGGTGTGACTGGATGGCCAGCAAGGAAGAAGGAGAGCGGAGCAGCTATGTAGTAGCTGGTGGGGTGGGGTGGGGTGGGGGGGGTTGTAAGGGAAGGTGATAATGATGGTGACTGGAACGGGTCGGAGGACTTTTGAGACGTCTCAGGAGTAAGGGACGGTGATAATGATGGTGATGACTGGAACGGGTCGGAGGGCGAGACTGGACGAGCAGCAAGGAAGAAGGAGAGCGGAGCAGCTACGTATTAGCTGGTGGTGGTGTGGGGTGGGGGGGAGTAAAGCGGGGGTTGGAGTGGGTGGAGGAAAGGGGATGGGTGGGGATGGGAGGTGATGGTGATGGGGAAGGCAGGTTGGGGGGCAGGGCAGAGCAGGACGGCCAGCAAGGAAGAAGGAGAGTGGCGCAGCAATGTAGTAGCTGGTGGGCGGGGAGAGGGAGAGGAGGAGAGGGGGGAAGGGGGTGGGCGATGTGGTCATGAAAGAACTAGGGGCAGGGCAGGACTGTTTTTGAGGCGCCTCAAGAATCGTCTCAGTTCACGCGATTTTGAGGCGCCTCAAGAATCGTCTCAGTTCACGCGATTTTGAGGCGCCTCAAGAAGGGGGTGGGCGATGTGGTTATGAAAGAACTAGGGGCAGGGCAGGACGGGCAGCAAGGAAGAAGGAGAGCGGGGCAGCGATGTAGTAGCTGGTGGTAGGGAGGAGGGAGGGGGAGGGGGGAGGGGCGGGGGGAGAGGGGCGGGGGGAGAGGAGCAGCGGCTTAGTAGCTGGTATTGGAGAGGCATGGTGGAGCAGAGGAGGGCAGAGCAGGACGGGCAGCAAGGAAGAATGAGAGCGGAGCAGCGATGTACAAGCTGGTTGTAGGGAGGAGGGAGGGGGGGGGGAGTAAGCGGGGAAATAGTGATGGCGATGAAAGAATAGGGAACTGGCGAGGAAGAAAGAGAGTGGAGCAGCAATGTGCTAGCTGGTGGTCGGGTTGGGAAAGGGGGGGAGGGGATGGTGGTGGGATGGGGAGGAGGAGGTAGGCAGAGACATGCATGTGAGACGATGTTGGGGAGGGAGGGGGAAAGGGCAGTGGACTCCCACAGCCGCCTGGAGAGATGCAGATGGAAGAGGAGCGAGTGGACAGGCACTTTGTGCAATGAGTCGAGTTTTGAGTCGACTCAAAACTCGACTCAGATGGAAGAGGAGCGAGTGGACAGGCACTCAGTGACTTTTGAGTCGACTCAAAAGGCACTCAGTGCAGCAGCAGACGCAGTTTCGTTTCGACTATGGACTCCTCCCACCCGCAGCAGTCTGGCAAAGTGCATTCTCTTCTATAACGCGGATATGATGCTGCCGGTCTTTCCCTGTCCACTGAAACTCGCATACCGCCCACATTCCACTCACCAGAGGCCGAGGAGGTAGGCACAGACGTGCATGTGAGACGACGGTGGGGAGACAGAGAGGGTTGTAGACTCCCATAGTCGATCAAGGGAGTAATAGACAGTCACTCACCATAGGCCAATGAGGTATGACGAGACGAGCCACGTGCACACAGCACTCACCAGAGGCCGAGGAGGTAGGCTGAGACGTGCATGTGAGACGATGTTGGGGAGACAGAGAGGGTTGTAGACTCCCATAGCCGTCTGGCGAGATGCAGATGGAAGAGGAGCGAGTGAACAGGTGCTCGGTGCAGCAGAAGCTGCAATGCTTGAACGCTGCTGGTGGGTGTGGTGGTGGTGCCAGGTGTGCTTGTAGCGATGCTTTCGCTGCTGCTGTTATAGCTGCTGTTACCGCTGCTGCTGCTGAGAGCACTGAAGCTTATACGAAGTTCAGTGTTGAGGAATGCGGTTACATCCGAGGGAGCAGAGAGGGCGAGAATGAGGAGTGCAAGGTTGAAGGCGAATCCGACCATGTAGAAATGAGAGAAGCAGCGATGGGGAACGGTCATGTGCTGGCAGGAATGGTTTGGGCAAGAAGGGGGAGCGAAAAAGGAGAAGGAAAGGGAGAGGGAGAGGGGGGAGAGAATGGGAGCGAGGAGTGCAAGGTTGAAGGAAAGTCCGACAATGTAGAAATGGGAGAAGCAGCGATGGGGAACGGTCATGTGCTGGTAGGGGTGGGGAAAAAGAGGGGGGGAAGAAGAGGGAGCAGTGAGGGCGAGGGCGAATCCGACAATGTAGAAATGGGAGAACCAGCGGTGAGGCACCGTCATGTGCTGTCAGGGGGTGGTGGGGAAGAGGGAGGGATGGAGCAGTGAGCAGTGAGAGCGAGGGCGAGGAGTGCAAGGTTGACGGAGAATTTAACAATGTAGAAATGGGAGAACCAGCGGTGAGGCACCGTCATGTGCTGGCAGCGGGTGGGGAAAAAGAGGGGGGGGAAGAAGAGGGAGCAGTGAGGGCGAGGGCGAGGAGCAGAAGGTTAAAGGCGAATTCGACGACGTAGAAGTGGGAGAAGCAGCGATGGGGAACGGTCATGTGCTGGTAGGGGTAGTTTTGGAAAACTAGGAGAACAAGGAGAGGGAGAAGGAGAGGGGCCAGTGAGGGTGAGAATGAGGAGTGAAAGGTTGAAGGCGAATCCGGGGATGTAAAAGTGGGAGAAGTAGCGATGGAAAAAGGTCATGTGCTGGCAGGGATGGTTTGGGAAGAAGGAGAGAAGGAGAGAAGAAGGAGAAAGGCGACGGGAGAGGGAGGAAGCAAGGGATTGGGAAATGGAGGGTAGGACCGCTTTGGGTGATTCCTCGAAGTCACTTTTGAGAAATTTCAAAAGGGACTTCAATATAGAAGAAGGAGAAAGGCGACGTGGAGAGGGAGGAAGCAAGGGAATGGGAGATGGAGGGTAGGACCGCTTTGGGTGATTCCACGCCCAGCAGGACTTTGAGCTTTGAGGCGACTTAGAACCAATACAACTCATACGCAGAGAGGCGAATATCGGTGACGCCAGGAGACGTTCCGTGTTTACTGGTAGGACCGCTTTGGGTGATTCCTCGTCCGGCTAGACTTGGAGTTTTGAGACGACTGGAAACTAAAACTAACTCAACTCACCCGCAGATAAGCAAATCTCGACGACGCGGGGGATTTCACGGGTTTTCTCGAAGAGCCGCTTTGGGTGATTCCTCGACCGGCCAGAATCCGCATGAGATGGCGGAGGGGAGTAAGCACGGGGAGAGGCAGGAGCGCGAGGATGACTGGGAGAGCGATTATTGCCCAGAAGCAGCGGAGGAGGGAGATCACGACGTCGCGTAGCGTCAGAAACGCCACGTCAGAAACAGCGTTTATTGGTGACATGGCTGTCTGTCGGGCGTGTTGCGTCAGCTCCGTAGGAACAAATGCTCAGAAAGGTGTAGGTTTGAGGATGCGCTCTGGTTTCCTGACTCCGCGAGGAGAGATGACGCGTAAATTGCGCCAGCTCGAAGCGATTTGCTAGTATGCGCTGGGCCGATCCGTTATGCATGTGATGCGCAGCACGTGGGGAAGCGTGGAATGCGGATAAGTTGTACCAAGATACCCCGAACGCGGAAAGGCGTGAGCGAGAAAGAGAGGGAGAGAAGTGGGAGGAAGATGCTAAATGATAGTGCGATGACGTTGGGAGGGGAGGATATAAGAGTCTAGCTTCACCGACAGATGCGTTTTTTCACGCTTCGGCGAGATCCATGGATAATGGTGGAGTGAATGTATTTGCGGTGTGTTTTGAGAGTTTGTGATGGCTTCACCCTACTAAACCAGTCTAGCTTTCTGATAGCCGCTATCAAGCGCACAGAAATGCTTTGAACCGTACGAAGGTGGCGTTCACGACATCTCTCCCAACCTTCCGCGACACAAAAACATTGGTAACATTTCGCTGGCTGGCCATGATGGTTGTTGAAAGATAGGCCGTTCACGTTACGCGCCCTGAGCTTGCTTGACCTCGGCTATCCATCATCCATCAACCGAGCTGAAAGCTAAGGAAAACCGTTTATCAGGTGAGGAAACGCCCTCAACCGCAGGAAGGTGAATAATGCCAAATATCTCATCATCCTTGACTCATCATCATCCTTCACGGAAGCATACCCTCGAATTTATCGTTCTTCCTGTCACCAGTCATCCATGGCTGTTGAATCTGGTCAGCGTTCATTTTGGTGTTGTGCTATCCACTCAGGATGCCAAACAGCAAGTTACACGGGTCTCACGTTTTGTAATCACGGTGCCTTGAACGACGCGCATCTTTCTTGGAATCAGCAAGATTAGCATCCTCGGATGGATTCAAGGAGCCTGTGCGCTGGCTCGCGGCGTTTCCCACGAAAAAAAAAAAAAAAAAAAAAGCTTGTGCTAATCTTAGCTTCCACTCGCCCTCCTTATCCAAGACTCATGACTCGGAAACGACGTGGCGTAACGCCTCCTTGCCGCTTGCTGTTGGCCTTTTTATACGGAGTTCACTGGCTCAGTCTTCATACACACCAGCTTTCTTTATTTTCAGTTGTCGAGCCTCGTCTTTATTCCGACGTGCGTCGTCTGATTCCTCCGAATGGCTCCATCGTTCTTGAGCTGCGCGGCAGCTCTTCAAATCATCCTGATCATTCTTCAGTACGTTCTCAGACCGTTCTGTTGTTTGACGGCAGCGCATTTTTACGCCATCTTTAAAACTTTTCTCGCTGCGATTTCTTATTGTGGTTCAATACTTTCTTCCCACCTTCCGTAACATTTCGCAGTCTCTCTGTGAGCGTGCATGCACGGAGCTTGCCATCTCGTGATGTTCCCCGAGACATCAAACCAGATGCGAATTGCCATCAAAGTACTTCAGTACCCGGGTCCTTACCCCACTTCAAAGCCTTTGCCGGAGAGCTGGCTGCTACCAACGTAAATCTTCGTGTTGAAGAAACTGATGCTGCCAGCCACAGAGTGCAATCCAGGTCACTGGGTGCAGTAAGTGGATGGCGGGACAGTGGATGGGTGGACTGATATCTTGTCTGAGAGTGTTTCAAGATGTGTTTTCTGAGATTCCCCATTCTAACTGGCTCCTCTCTATTTGCAGACGCTTCAACAGCGTTCACGGCATCCTTGGAAGCGCCTGACCCACTTATGGTCATCGATTTCAATAAACCAGCGACTTTATGAACCACATTTTGGAACTGGTTATCAGAATGACGGCTCTGATATTGGTATCAGAAACACTGAAGCAGTGGATAACATTGGTCTTGCGTTTTATTTGCTGGGCCAGCTGTTTCCGTTGCGGGCACTGGCCTCCAGGAAGCAGGTTCTTGGAGGGTCAGGAGCCACATTCTTTGAGCAGGACGCCAATGCTGGGAGCATCAACAACCTGGGAGTTACAAACAGTCAGAGAAGCAGAGTGGGAGATGGCATGGGTTATGCTTCAAGCTTTCAGGGCAATTCAATGTCCCAACAAAGTGCAACTAACCCCACACTCCCCACTGTGTATGTCGGGTCTAGTGTCTCCACTACCGCCGCAACAAATGGGGTAGGTTCATCGTTCCCATTTGCAGGACTGGGAACGACTGGTGATGTGTTTGTTGGTGTGGGTGGTCAGTTGATTCCAACAGGTGCAAGCATTGGAGATTGATACGTTGAGATGAGTGGAGAATTCTTGTTGACCTTTGATATTGTAATTGACATTGTACTACAATATTGAGAAAGCTTGCTTTCTGTTCTTGCAATGGCAACGTGCTTCATTAGAAATGCAGTTATTACAGCATTTTCGTCCAACTATAAATCATACATGCACATGATCAGGGTGGGTGGGTGGGGAGTGGAACTGCGAAGTTCCAAGTGAAGACGTGGGTGGAGGGCGAATGGCCTCCAACCCTCTTATATATTCGGCGAATGGTAATTCGCAGTTGCGTTGCTGCACTACAGTCAGCTGCACTTTCACAATACGCATTTTTAGAAAGTGTTACACACTTTCGAAAAAATTCATTACAAGACAATCTACCCCCAACAATCGGCTTCACAATGGTCTGCCAGTAAAATGCCAGCAAACAAATAATTTGCTACCAGTTTCAGCCACCACAGCTTCTCCAGCAACTTCCACCTAAGCCATTGACCATTCATTGGCCGCTTTATTGCTCCCATTTTCACCTCTGCATGCCATTGCTGTGGCGTCTGCTGCTGCTACTGTTCCAACCAGTAATGTTTCCCCTGCGTCTTCCCTGCCCCAGTGACTACCTAAAGCATATCTTCCTTCTCTTCCTGTCCCCCTCACGCCATTACTGTTACAAATGCTGCTACTGATACCAATAGTTTTGAGGCATCTTAAATTTCTCTTCCTCCTCACCTACTGCAACTTAAGTTTTTTTCCTGCTGCTACTGCTTCTACTGCTGCTGCTGCTCCCACCAAACACCACCGCCACCACCACCAGCACCACTTCACTTGTACTTGGCTTTAAGCCGAGCCAATTCCGCCTCATCGTCCGCTCCCAACCCCATCTCCATCTGAGGCACCCTCTCTTCCTCCTCCTCCACCCCTGCTGCCTCTGCCGCCCGCTGCTTTTGCCGCACCGCCGTGGGAAGCTGCGCAGTAGCTTCCGTCGCCAGCTCATCAAGAACCTTGTTTACTTCCTCTTCCATTTCATCCTCCATCTCCTCGGTGTCTAGAGCATCGTCTACGGCCTCTTCCAGCATCTCGCTGATTAAACCAGCCTGAACAGGAATACAGAGAGAGGAGGAGGTAAACAGAGGGGAAAAAGCAGGGAAATCGGGTTGTGATTCTCTCCTCCAGCTAATCAGGAACCCTATTACTTCCTCTTCCATTTCATCCTCCATCTCCTCCATGTCCAAAGCATCGTCCACTGCCTCTTCCAGCATCTCGCTGATAAGACCAGCCTGGATAGGAAGGACGAAGGGAAAAACAGAGGAAAGGTGGGGAAATTGGGTTGTGCTCCTTTCCTCTTCCATTTCATCCTCCATCTCCTCCGTGTCCAAAGCATTGTCCAGCACCTTTTCAAGCATCTCACTTATAAGACCAGCCTGAAAAAGGAGGAGAAGGGGGGGAAGATGAAGGACGGTTTTGTGTTGGAGGTGAGTGGGCTGCGTTGCAGTCCTCTCTTCTTCCATCTCATGCATCTTTCCCCTCTCATGGATTCTCAAAAACTCCCTGCGATCCTCTCTTCTTCCATCTCATGCATCTTTCCCCTCTCATGGATTCTCAAAAACTCCCTGCGATCCTCTCTTCTTCCATCTCATGTATTTTTGAGACGTCTCAAAAATACATCTTTTTCTTTATCAAGTGGGCTGCGTTGTAATCCTCTCGTTTCCCATCTCATCTTCCATTTCATCCTCCATCTCTCTCTCTCAAATGGTCCTTTGTATTAATTCAGCAGGGGGTACAGACATGCAATTTGACTCGTGGTTCCCTTATACCTTCCGACCCATCAACCCATCCCTCTGACCCTCCCCCCCCCCCCCCCCTTAGTGCCCTCTAACCCTCCAGCGTGTGGAGGATGTCCCCTAGGTGCAGCGGCCATGGGTCCGCTGCCATCTGGGGGTGCGCTGCCTCAATCCCCGCCCTGGCCTTGGTGTGCAGGGCATTCGCCTGGGAGCGCTGGAGGGCCACTGACCAGCGCTGGCTGAAGTGGCAGGCCATCTTCTTGGCCGATTTCGCCAAGGGGTTGGCCCTGAACCGGTTCCTAGCTGCTGCTGTGGCCAGCAGCTTCAGGAACGCCGTCGTGGGGGGCGCGTTTGCCCCATAGGTCTCGACGGCCAGGGCGCAGAACACCACATGTTCTGTGTGCCGGTAGTAACCCCTTTCCTTCCGCTTCTGAGCCTCCCTTGCAGCCCAGCCTGGGGGTTTGCGGGCTGTGGGGTCCCGGTTCTGCAGCACAGGGTCGGTGATAGTCGTGTCTGTGATCCAGGTCTCTCCACTGTCTGGGTCACGCACGATCACATCGGCCTTCTTCGGGTCATCCGGTGGTGAGTACATTGCATTCTCCAGGTATACCACCAGCTGCGCCTCCCTCGCCATTTTTGCCACGGCAAAGGCCAGCTGATTGTGTGTGCGCGTTCTGCCCGGGCCTGTGCTGCAGCGGAGTAGGTGGTTGGGTAGGCTGCAGTCGGCCACAAGCTCTCCACACTCGCACACGGTAGGTACGTTCTGTCGGATGCCCATGCGGAAGGCCAGGGCTGTTCGGAATTGCCCTGGAGAGAAGCAGAGGTCTGGGGTCAGGGGTAGGGCTTGCAGCCATGCTCCCGCTCCCTCGCCTCTCAGGCTGACGAGGCGGAGCGTGTGGCCCATCTCGGGGGCTGACCTGATTGAGCGTGATTCCTCTGTCAGGGTGTCGGCCTTTGCCGCGTGCACTTCCTGAGAGAGGGCCCGCTGCAGCTGGTCTTGGGACGGGGTTTCTTGCTCCTCACGGAGGTATTGCAGCGCCAGCGGCGGCAGTCGTCCCTCCATATCTTGGATGGTGACCGAGTGTGACGCAGACGGCTGCAGGGCATTGCTGTTGCTCCCTAGCGCCGCGGTTGCTGGCAGGTCGAGTGAGCGGAGCAGGCGTAGTGCCTCTGTCGTTGAGGCCAGGTAGGCTGGTGCTGCTTCTGTTGTGGGATCCGTGAGGCCCAGTCCACCTAGGGCCACTGGGAGGGTTGCTTGGCGGATGAGAAAATTGAACTCGGCTTCGCGGCGGGGTGGTTGGATGCTGGCGGCAGTCAGGGCGGTGTTGAGCAGATCGGCGCACCACGCGTGCCATTCCGAGAGGGGAAGGACATCCGCTGGGGTGGTGCGCAGCAAGTAGCCGATTCTGCGGCTGATGCAGCGGGACAGGAGCAGGAGGGCATGCTGTGGATGGATGGATGCTAGGGAGCCCAGGGGTGCCGCCGCGTCTGTCAGAGTACTGCGGACCACGCCAGCGCAGAAGCGCTGTGACCCCACGGGACTTCCCAACACCCGTACCCCCTCGTGGGTGAGTGGGAGGCCCTCGGGGAGCTCGTCACCCTCAAGCGGCGTCGTGGACCACGCCGACGATTTTCTGAGGTTGCAGGTGAGGCCATCCTGGGCGAGCAGCGGCGTCAGTAACTTAAGCGCGCCGAGCGTTGCTGTCGCCGGTCCGATCATGGTGATGTCATCGGTGTATGCTAGGATCGTGACTTCTGGGTGCTCTGCTGCTGTGCGTCTGAGGTGCTGCTGGATTGATGCCGCGAACAGCAGGGGTCCGAGGGGGTCCCCCTGCCTCACCCCTCTTCCGCTGGTAAGTGCCGTCGTGCTCAAGCGGGGATCGGTCAGCAGCTGAGAAGGCGTTGCGTAGAAGGAGCGGGTGAAAGGTATGAGCGGTGCTAGCGGGGTGTTGGTGAGTGCGTTGAAGAACGCTTTCCTCTCTACGGAGTTGAAAGCGTTTTCAATGTCGAGTTGGAGGACTAGGCTGGAAGGCTGTGAAGTGGTGAGGTCTCTGACTGCATGTATAACGAACTCAGCTCCGCCTGGGACTGCCACCCCGAATTGTTGGGGTAAGAAAAATCGCCTTGTTTCTCCTTGTAGTTCCGAGAGTGCCACCTTTGCTGCCAACCGGAGTAGGGATTCCCCTATTGCGATAAGGCGTACCCCCCCCCCCTGGTTTCGCGAAGGCGATGAGGCGGGATGGCGAGAGTAGTGCTGCAACCTCGGTGGAGAGATTCGTGGAGAGAAAATGTGTTACGGCGGAGTGTAGGTGCCCCAGCACTTCGATGTTGCTTAGGGCTGGGTCGCGGTAGTGTTCAAATGTTGACCCGGATGGACCAGCCCCAACTCCGCTGGGGCAATCCCCAAGGACGTCTGAGAAACTTTCCGCGGTGCACGAAAATTGCGTGGGTGTTGTGTAGGTGTGGACCCAGTCGGGCAGCTCAACTTGGGGTTGGGGATGTTTCAATTCCAACAGCTGCAATGTTGCGATCGTCGCAGGGGCCGCTGGCGAGGGTGAAAGGGCTGCCAACGCTTTTCGCAGGTTACCTCGTTTCACCAGCCCCTCCACACGTGAGCAGATTCCCAGGGGGTCGTTTTGGTGCTGAGGTGGCTCAGCTTGGTGCAGGGACCCCACGTAGTCACTGTAGAGCTGGTTCCAGTGGCCACATCTGAATAGGTGCATCTGCTCTCGCAGCACCTTCCACTTAGAGCTGGACCTCCTGCTAAGTCGTAAGGTGAGACGTGGCAGGAACATGAGGACCCGCCACGCTCCCGCGCAGTTGGGCAGTTTGGAGATCCGTAAGAGGGCGGCCAGCATACAGGTGGAGTAGTCGCTTAGTATCTGCGGCGGCAGGCGGCGGACGATAGGCAGGTGGGTGGTTGACGTTAGGGTTGAAGAGTCCCAGCTCGTCGCGATCTCAAAGAGATCCTCCCTCGATGCCAGCTGGGACGCTGACAGGGCTTGGTCCGGAGGGGGTTGGGGTCTGCGGTTCTGTCGGCGTCTAGGATCCCTCTCCTGCTGCTGCGCCTGGTCCTCCCCCGCTTCCGCGAGAGGTGAGTCGGGGTTGTCGGGTTGCCTCAGATCTGACGGTACATATTCGTCGCCGCTCCCTTCTCCGTTTGTATCACCGATTCTCATTGCTTGCGCTGTCGTTCCCCTTCTCCCCCCGCGTCTAGCAAACGACTGGCGCGTGACTCGTTCCGCCGGCTCCCCCAACCAGATTGGGCTCGTTAGTTGGCGCGGATTCCCCCTCGCCGCTTGGCCTGCACTCCGCTGTCCTCCGCGCGCTCCTCGACCCCCGCCTATGTGGAGAAAGACGCGTCCAGCGTCCTGGACGCATGCGTCCAGACGCTGGACGCTAGTTTAGGGCCCCCGAGACGCAGCAAAAGACGCAGGTCCGGGCAGCCAAAAAAAACCCCCCGGGCAGCCAAAAAAAAGTTATAGGGCAGAGGGAAGAGGGGGTAAGAGGGGGGGGGGGGGGGGGGGGGGGGTGGAACACACTTTCATAGCAAAATTTCTCCTCAACAACAAAATTTCAGCCACAACAATAGAACATGAAGGTGAGCCCCAAATTTCCATAATCACAATTAGTCCAAGGGTTGTTTAGCATGCATGCATACTACCACTAACTAACATGCATCACTCATCCTCCTCGCTCTCCATCCCCTTCTCCTCCTCCTTCTCCAAATCCTCCTGCTCCTTGTACTCGTCGAAGGTGAGGTCATCCTCATCCACCTCCACCTCTCCATCCTCCTCAAGCTTGTACCCCTCGGGAAGGGGTCGGGGGGGAATGTTCCCCTCCACTATTCCCGCCTTCCTGACTTCCCCACTCGGCCCCGCACCCGCCGCACCCTTGTGGTGGTTGTGCACAACGTTCCAGTTGTGCGCAACGAACACAAGGTCGCGAACACAAGGAGCTAGCCATAACGGTGGTGCGCGGAAAGGAGCTAAAACCACTAGGGTTTTTGAAAGAGAATTGGGTTGTGAGAAAAGGGAGCACAAATGAGAGGTTTCATGAACTAAATGGGCTTTGTGGGGGTGGTGGACCACAAAGGTTGGGTTTCCTAGTTGTGGAGTGGTGGAGAGGGGTTGGATTTCCAAATCAATTTTGCAAAAAGGGGAGGGGGTTAGGGGTGAATTAGATGGCTGGTTTTGGGGGTCGAATTTGCTTGGGGGGTGTCGAATTTCGGCGAAATTGACATTCGCGACGAAATCGCGAATGTCAATTTCGCGATCGCGAAAAAAAAAAAAATCTCGGTCTGCCCGAAAAATTTTCCAGGGTGCGTCCTGCGTCCGGACGCGCGTCCTGCGTCTTTGCGTCCGGACGCTGCGTCCGGACGCAGGACGCAGGGCTGCCCCAGCGTCTTTCTCCACATAGACCCCCGCCTCTCCCCCGCGTGCTTCCCCGTCCGCTCCTCGGAGTGGCTGCCACAGGTGCCGCCTGTTGCGCCTGGGAGATCGGCGTCGTCGGCTCCTCTTGCGGCAGTGGAGCGCCCTGAGCGCTCGCTGATGGATTTCCTCGGCGCTCTGGGCCGCGACTGCACCGCGGAGAGCGATCCCGCTCCCCGTCCGCGTCCTCCTGCACGCCCTGCCGCGAGCATACCTGTTGCTCCACCGGCGTCCGCTGATCAGATCCGCCGCCGCTTTGAGGACCAGCAGCGCGAGCTGGTTCGGCGCGCGGGCAGGTCCTTGTCACCGCCGGAGCCCGTGCGCGCGGGGTCCGTCTTGCGCTCCGGCGCAGAGGCTGTGGTGCACCAGGAGCGTTCGCCTCACCGTCGCTCATCGGCAGCTCGCGACGATAAGCGGGAGAGCCGCCGCGATGATCGTCACGGTGCGGCCCGTTCGCCGCTGTCTCCTCGTTCGCCTCGTCGCGTGGCGTCGCGAAGCCGATCCCGTGACCGCCGTTCGCATCGTCATCGTTCGCCCCCTCCTCGTTCATCTCGCCAGCGGTCGCCTGCCCGCCAGACGTCTGGGCGTCGGCCCCCAGCTCCGTGTTCGCCCCATCCTGCAAAGCGCCAGCGGCTCTACTCCCCACGTCGCGGGGACCGTTTTCCTGGCCGCCAGCGTCAGCAGGGCCCATCTCGCCCGCAGTCGCCTGTGCGCTCAAGCGCAAGTGGGCGTGCGCATCGTGGGCGACGGGGGGGTGACAGTCGCGGCGGAAAAGCGGGTCCAGCGCCGTCCGCAATGGAGCGCCGTCTTCTGGATAGGCTTGATGACGTGGAGAAGGAGCTTAGTCGCTCGCGTGCTGGGTCGGCGTCACCATCAGCTCCTCGCGCAGCTCCCGTCTGCCCCACAATCCCTTTGGATCCCCGGCGCGTTCGGAGCAGCCGCTGCCTGCGGGGACGGGCTTCGTAGGTGCTGGTGGCGGGCCGCCGTGGGCTCAGTTTGCTCCGCCGCGTCCTCTTCCTGCTCCGCGTGATCTCGCCGTGTCGTCTCACCGCGCCCGCGCGTATGCGTTGCTTCCGCCGATGAAAGAAGTTCCCACGGCGACCCTGGCCCGCCTATGGTCGCTGGCGGCGTCCCTGCAGAGCCTTGAGCGGATTCTCCAGGAGTCATTTGACTCCATGCCGGTGAGCCCTCCGAGCAGGTTCTCTCAGAAACCGCGAGCAGATTGTCATGCGGCGGCGTCAGCGCTATTCGCGCTCGTAACGCCACTGCAGGTAGCGCCCTCGCCGGGAGCAACCTCGGCCAGCCAGCTGGCTGACTCGGCCCTGGCTCTGAGGACGCTTGTAGCAGGCCCTGGTACTCCTGTTGACGTTGTAGGCGCCACCGTGTCTGTGGTCCGACAGTTGTGGTTGAACACGAGCGGAATGCTCGCTGCGGTAGAGGCGGACCGCATGTAGGCGCTCCCCCCTTGCACGTATAGACCCGTTCCATCCTCTACTTGCTAAGTGTCTATGCTTGCCTTGTTTGTATCGGTTGCCTAAGCTACTACTGCTTGTTGTTTCCCCTTGCCATCCCTAACGCGCGGCCGAAGGCCGCCGGCGCGAAGCGCCCAAATTTTCAGCACTAACTGAAAGAATGAGAGATTGAGAGGCCGCCGTGGCCTTAAGTAGTCATGGCAGAGGGCAGAAAGCAGAGGGCAGAGGGTAGAAGGGGAGAGGCTAATCCTCTCTCTCTCTCGCTCTCTCGAACAACACCCAAATTTTCAGCACTAACTGAAAGAATGAGAGATTGAGAGGCCGCCGTGGCCTTAAGTAGTCATGGCAGAGGGCAGAAAGCAGAGGGCAGAGGGTAGAAGGGGAGAGGCTAATCCTCTCTCTCTCTCTCTCTCTCTCTCTCTCTCTCTCTCTCTCTCTCTCTCTCTCTCTCTCTCTCTCTCTCTCTCAAATGGTCCGTTGTATTAATTCAGCAGGGGTACAGATATGCAGTTCTATACATGATAACCTCGATCCCATAAGCCCATCAACTCGCCCCTCATCCCCTCCCCTCCCCTGAGTGGCCCTCTAGCCCTCCAGCGTGTGGAGGATGTCCCCCAGGTGCAGCGGCCAGGGGTCCGCTGCCATCTGGGGGTGCGCTGCCTCAATCCCAGCCCTGGCCTTGGTGTGCAGGGCGTTCGCCTGGGAGCGCTGGAGGGCCACTGACCAGCGCTGGCTGAAGTGGCAGGCCATCTTCTTGGCGGATTTCGCCAAGGGGCTGGCCCTGAAGCGGTTCCTAGCTGCTGCTGTGGCCAGCAGCGTCAGGAACGCCGTCGTGGGGGGCGCGTTTGCCCCATAGGTCTCGACGGCCAGGGCGCAGAACACCACGTGTTCAGTGTGTCAGTAGTAGTCCCTCTCCTTCCGCTTCTCTCTCTCTCTCCCTCTCTCTCACTCTTCCCCTCACTCACTCTTCACTCCCTCCCCATCGCACATTCATCATATCTTTGGACAGCTCTTGCATAATGCCAGCCACCTGTATGAAGATTGGTTTTGAGACGTCTCAAAACCAATCTTCATACACGTATCATCTCTTTGGACAGCTCTTGCGTCATGCCAGCCACCTGCGGGACTTTGATGAGACTGCTGCAGGATCTCTAATAAGGCTGTTCCTTTTTCCCACTTCTCACCTCCCTCCCCCTCCCCATCGCACATTCATCATCTCCTTTGGACAGCTCTTGCATCATGCCCGCCACCAGGGGCATTTAGACCAACCAAATGGTTGATTGGCTTCATGTGCCCCTTAGAGTGCTCAGGCGCTCTTTTCCCTCTCCCCACCCCTACTCCCCCCCTCACATTCATCATCTCTTTGGACAGCTCTTGCATCGTGCCCACCACCAGGGGCATTTAGACCAACCCAATGACTGACCGGACTGGCTGCGCGGCAGCTTCATGTGCTTCTGAACCCGCTCACAGCAGCCCTACATCCCCCTATGACTCCGTAGAGAGCTTCACATGCTTCTACAGCTGCAGCTTTTACACTTTACAGAGCTCACAGCAGTAGGGCTGCTGTAGGGCTGCAGTAGGGCTGCTATTATTCCGCTCACAGCAGCCGTACCTCCCCCTATGACTCCGTAGAGCTTCACATGCTTCTAGAGCTGCTGAAATGCCACTGTAAAGGCTCTTCCCTCCTCCCTCTCCCCTCTTCCCAGTTCCCCCACCCTCGCACCTTCATCATCTCTTTGGATAATTCTTGCATCGTGCCCGCGACCTGCGGCACTTTGATCAGCCCGCTGACGAGCTTCATCACCTCTGTGCTCTTCGCCATGTGCCCCGCCACCTTCGCCATGGCTGGTGGTAATGGAGAGGGGTTGGGAGGGATTGGAAGGGATTGGACAGGGGGAGCCAGGGAGGAGGAGTTGGGGGAGGGGGGTGGTTCAACACAGAAGCACCAACCACCTGCGGCACTTTAATCAGCCCGCTGACGAGTTCCATCACCTCTGTGCTCTTCGCCATGTGCCCCGCCACCTTCGCCATGGCTGGGAGGGATTGGAGAGGGATTGGGAGGGGTCAAAAGAGATTGCAACGGGGGGATTTGGGGGAGGGATCTACATGTGAGCACAGGGCTCAGGCCCCCCATTCCATCCCACTCAGCCCGCTGACGAGCTTCATCACCTCTGTGCTCTTCGCCATGTGCTCTGCCACCTTCGCCATGGCTGGAGGGGTTGGGGGAGTACACAGGCACGGGGGAGTACACAGGCACGGGGGAGTACACAGGCACGGCGGAGTACACAGGCACAGGGGAGTACACAGGCACGGGGGAGTACACAGGCACGGGGAAGTACACAGGCACGGGGGAGTACACAGGCACGGGGGAGTACACAGGCACGGGGGAGTACACAGGCACGGGGGAGTACACAGGCACGGGGGAGTACACAGGCACGGGGGAGTACACAGGCACGGGGAAGTACACAGGCACGGGGAAGTACACAGGCACGGGGAAGAGAGCAAAGGTTTGGCGGGAGAGGCAGAGAGATATTACATGTTACGCAAGAGAAGCAACATGATGAGGAGATGATGTCTAAGAATTGCCTCATCACCTCTGCGCTCTTGGCCATGTGCCCTGCCACCTTCGCCATGGCTGGAGGGGGGAAGGGCGTGAGGTCTTAAAGAGATGCCTTAAAAGTGGACCAGAAGGAGGGTGCGAGGTTCAGCAAAGCAGCACCGCGCACAGGGGCTCTCAACTCGTTGATGATTTTCAACCCCTGTGCCAGCACTTGCCACCTTCGCCATGCTCGTTTTGGGACATTTTCCGGTGAGCAGCAACCTCACCAACCTCCCCTCTCCCCACCCTCTGTTCTGCTTTCTGGTGGATCTCTCAAGGAAGGCTCAGCATTGGCAGCACTGAGAAAGAGGTAGCTGGAAAAAATTGCTGGTATGCTATCTGGAGCTTGGCAAGATGCGCTAAGGATGACATGGGTAGCGGCAGGCAGGAGATTTGGATCCTGAAAGCATTTTTCCAAGCTCCAAATCTCCTGCCTGCCGCTACCCATGTCATCCTTAGCGCATCTTGCCAAGCTCCAAATAACATACCAGCAATTTTTTCCAGCTGCCTCTTTCTCAGTGCTGCCAATGCTGAGCCTCCCCTGCCGCTCCCAACCTCACCAACCTCCCCTCTCCCCACCCTCCGTTCTCCAATGTTCCCCCCCCCAGTGCAGCGACACGGAGTTGAGCTGGGCTCGCGACCTCGTGCTCACACCAACAACAAAACCCCTTCCCACTATTCCCTTTCCTTCCTCCCCATCCCACCCATTAGAGCCACCCACTCCCACCCCTCCTCCTCACGCTCACCGATGTTCTCCCCCAGGCATCTCCCTTCTCCCTGGCACAGCGAAATGGAGTTCATCTGAGCCTTCAGCGCGTGCTTATGGCAACAACCACACGCCCATCCCCTGTTTCCCTTCCTTCCTCCCAAACACCCTCCTAACCCCCTTCCCCTCAAACTCACCGATTTTTCTCCCCCAGGCACATTGAAATAGAGTTCATCTAAGCGTCCTGAGCATGCTCAAACCCTTCATAACCCCCTCCCCTCACACTCACCAATGTTCTCCCCCAGGCACAGTGACATAGAGTTCATCTAAGCCTCCTGCGCATGCTCACACCCTCAGATTCAATCTCCCTCTCAACATTCAAACTCTCCCCAACCCTCACACACGTCTATAAGCAATCCCCCCCCCAATCCCCCTCCCCCCTCTCTCCCCCCCTCACCGATGTTCTCCCCCAGGTGCAGTGAGATAGAGTTCATCTGCGCCTTCTGCTCGTGCTCATATCCCCCCTACTACCCCCACATTCATTCCCCCTGCCCACTCCCTCCTCTTGCACCCCCCTCTCACCAATGTTCTACCCCAGGTGAAGGGAGATGGAGTTCATCTGGGCTTTCTGCTCGTGCTCACACCCCCCAGCCCCTGTTCCCTCTTCTTCACTTTCCCCACCTCCCACTCACCAATGTTCTCCCCGAGGTGAAGGGAAATGGAGTTCATCTGCGCGCATGCGACCAATGGCTTTCCGGGATCGCACCAGCTCCTTGGCTAGGTGCTGGGATGATAGTAGTACGTGACAGGAGAAAGGGAGGAAGGGGAGGGGGAGTGGAGAGCACACATGAGTCATGGAGTTCAATTGAGCCTTGTGCTCGTGCATGCACGCGACGAATGGCTTTCCGCGATCGCACCAGCTCCTTGGCTAGGTGCTGCAATGACAGGGGGTAACGAAAGGGGAGAGGTGGATGGGAGTGGGGATATGGAATTTATTTGAGCCTTCTGCTCGCGCATGCGGCTGATGGCCTTGCATGATCGCACCAGCTCCTTGGCTAGATGCTGAGAGATGGGAAGTGCGAGGCAGGGTGGGTGGGATTGGAAAAAGGAGGGGGGGGGTTGTGGAGGGTTAGAATCAGCCATGTGCGTTTGCCTAAACTAGTTTTGAGGCGCCTCAAAACTGGGAGGGTTGTGGAGGGTTAGCATCAGCCATGTGCGTTTGCGTTTGCCTAATAGCCTTGCGAGATGATGGGAAATAAGAGACGTGGAAGATCGGAGGTGTATTTTGAGGCGCCTCAAAATACGCCTTGCGAGATTATGGGATGGGAGATAAGAGATGTGGGAGATCGGGGGTGGTGGGCCGGGTGTGGGGGGGGGTGTTGGTTATGAAAGGATTACATGAGCAATGTGCGTTAAAGTGATGGAATTGCGCGATCCCACTAACTCCTTGGCTAGACGCCGGTGCCACACCACACCACACCACACCACACCACACTGCACCAACACACTACACCGCACTGCACTACACCGCACTGCACTACACCGCACCACACCTCTCCCATCCCACACACCTTGGCTGATCCCAGATCGCCTCGCTTAGCCGCCTCCTTGATTTCCTTCTTCACATTCATCTCGCTCCACCACCCCACTCACCACCCAATCCCATCCCACCCCATTCCATCCCATCCCATCCCATCCCATCCCATCCCATCCCATCCCATCCCATCCCATCCCATCCCATCCCATCCCATCCCATCCCATCACACCACACCTCGCCCATCCCACACACCTTGGCTGAACCCAGATCGCCCCTCTTGGCCGCCTCCTTGATTCCCTTCTTCACATTCACCTCCTCTCGCTGAATCTCTGCATCGAAAAGAAGGAGAGGGAGAGGAGGGGGGAAGGCATGATGCGGCAAGGTGGCAAGATTGAAAGGCATCACTCTTATCACTCTGTTGGTTTGTCTGCCCCGCTTGGCTTGGCCGCCTCCTTGATTCCCCACTTCACATTCACCTCCTCTTGTTGAATTTCTGCATCGAAAGGGAGAGGAGGGAAGACAGGGGGAAAAGGGAGGAATGAAGGAGGAGGGAGGACGGAGGGAGGACGGAGGGAGGACGGAGGGAGGACGGAGGGAAGAGGGATGAAGGAGAGTAATCGGTAAGATACAGCGATGACATAGTGGATGGATTAGATTTGATTTATTTAAGTGTATCTTCAGTAGATTGAATCTTCACCACCCCCCTTAATTCCTTCTTCGGATTTACCACCTCAATCTCCTTGATGAAACGATGGTGTATGCCAGTACCTCTCCATGAAACCATGGCGTGTTTAGAGGCGCCTCAAAAGTCCTCTCCATGACCATGGCGTGTATCATGTTGACTTTTGAGTCGACTCAAAAGTCATGACCATGGCGTGTACCATTTGAAGAGAAGTTACAGAGCAAGAAACATCAGACGCTCAAAGACAGCTATTGGCGTATTGCTTTTGGCGTCTCAAAGACAGCTCTCCAGAAACATACCATCTACGTGACACCACCCAATCCCATCCCACTCGATTCCATCCCACCCCACCCCCGTCCACCTCGCTCCACCTTACCCCATTCCATCCCATCCCATCCCAACGAGCCTCGAATGCTCCGCTCTATGTTGCGCTGCTCATGCCGTAGCTTGCGCTGCCACTCCCAACCCATCCCAACCCATCCCATCCCATCCCATCCCATCCCATCCCATCCCATCCCATCCCATCCCATCCCATCCCATCCCATCCCATCCCATCCCATCCCATCCCATCCCATCCCATCCCACCGCTCGCCCCAGCCACCCACCTCGGATGTTCCGCTCGATGTTGCGCTGCTCCTGCCGTAGCTTGCGCTGCCACTCCCGCAGCTGCTGCTGCGGAGTCAGCTTCGGGCCGAACATGTTCTTCAGCATCGTGCTGACGTGGCAGGTGACGTGGCTAGCGTTGGCTTTGTGGATTAGCTCCCACACTCAACAAGTGAATCTCGACTCGATAGAATCACCAGCCAAACCCCTTACAATCACCACTCGGTTAAACTGTTCCTAACATTCGCACTCTTGCAACCCAAACAAGACAATCGCGGGTCTACAATCAGTCTCCAGTGGTTAACTAACTGAGACTAACTGACAGTTGACACTAACTGAGAGTCAGCTGACGCCAACTGAGACTCAGTTGACGTTAAAGGCCACACCCCGAATTACACAACGAAGTCAACGAAAAAAATGTAGGTTCGGGAAACCCCAGAGACAGGTTCGGTGGGGAAATCGAGAACCAATCGCGTCAAAATCCCACTCAAAACCCTCGACCAATCACACGAAAGTGGTGACAGTTTTGGGGCCGACACGGTAATTCTGGATGTGTCCTTTAACAGGCCAACACACTAAGCACAACTGAGAAATAGAGGGAAGTAATGCCAAAGGGTCGTTCCCTGATTTCGCGCGCTCCGGAAGCAGGAGAGCGGATTCGCGAAGAAATTAGCTCGAATTCACAGAAGAGAATTGCTCGTATTCGGGAGCAAGAATTCGATAAGTGGAAACTCGGAACTACAACCGCACAATAGTAACAGTGGCTGAAAGAATGACTCAGGTAAAACGAGCAGATACTCAATGACGTAGGCTTCAGATGGGCACCCAATGAAAGAAATTCATCAGGACCACAAATGCCGAGTGAATGCGCGTTCATTTTTAGCCAAAATGCTTACGTGACTGGAACATTTCTTTTTCCAGAGACTCGTTGAGACTCCGAATGGTAGTTCCGGGGTCATCTCAACCGCTCGAAAGCTTTCAGTTAAAATTGCTACGAGGATGTTGAATACGGTTTCTCGAATCATGTCGGGAGGGAGAGGAAGCTAGCATGCATATCTTCGTTACAGAGAAACGCGTTTATAGCGTCGGAGTTATTTGTGCAGTGGAATTTCACCCGCTTCATGTGTCAAAGTTCAGACAGCCCTCAGCGGCTGACAATACGTACCTCTTCAAAACGCACAACACCGAGCAGAGAGCGAAACCGTTTCAAACCCTTCTCGGAAGGGCCAAATCCAAAATGGATATCGGGCATCCGTGGCTCTAAAATTGACAGATAACCGCACTGAACCCACGGTTGTTCAAACTTCCTTTTCCACAACCGGTTTGAACCTTTTTGAAAGCTGTGAATGAGGGTGAGGAAATCTCCCATTGCTTCACTTCAGAAACGTGAAGTGAAGCTCGCCTCGCCACTCACACCCACTAAGTCAGACGGATTCCGTCAGTGCTGTGTGCGGGCAGAGCAGTCCTTGGTCCGACGGATTCCCTCGGCATTTCGCGTCCGTCGTCATCTTTGCCGGTTAGCCGTCATCAACGGGCCCATGGAGTCCATGGTCGTCAACCGCGGTCCCACGACAGCATCTAAGCTGTTGCCGCCACGTCACACACTTCGACCCGCGGTAACTACTACGCGCGTCGCCAGTAATTATATTGCTCATATTTGTCATACTTGCAGCCCTATTACCGGTCCTGTGAGCTGCATTGGTTACGAAGGTTGCCGAATTTGGTAACAGATTCCAAGAGACGGTTACAATCGCCGAGAAGCGGCCGAACTCGGTACACTGCCTCGGCGACGGGCGGTACAAATTCCTCTTCTAACGCGGATGACGCGGCGGCAATCAAGGCCAGACTCCGCGCCGCGATTGCGAAGTCGGAGCGCGGAGTGGTAACAGACGAGGCGATTACTCGCGAAATTCTGGCAGCTATTGAATCGCTGGAGGAGCTAGGAGGAGGCGGAAGAGCGGACGAGAGGAAGGAAGCTCCTGTGACAACGTCTGACGAATCATTGAGTGCCACGTGGAAGCTTCTATGGACGACTGAGAAAGAGACGCTCTTCATTTTCAAGCAGGCTCCCTTGTTCAGCACCACCGCCGGAGACACATTTCAAGTAAGCAGCTTCTTTTACCAGGCTATGCTAACCATAGACGTGTCGCAGGACGTGTCGCACGACGTGTCGCAGGGCACATTGAGCATCACCATCACCTTCCCCCCCTTCCCTTCCTCTCCCACTCATTTCCTCCCTCCCTTACTCCCTCCACCCCATGCAGATCAGAGACGTGGCTAAGAGCACTCTAAGCAACACCATCACCTTCCCCTCCTCGGGCATCTCTGACGTCTCTGCTTCCATCCAAGTCGCCTCCCTCTCTCCCCTCCGCACACCCCCTCCCTTTCTTGAACCACCATCCCATGCCATTTGCAGACCATAGACGTGGCAAAGGGCACTCTCAGCAACACCATCACCTTCCCTGCCTTACCCCCTCCTTTTTCTCTTTCGCTTACCCCTTCCCGCCTCTCCCTCCTCGGTCCCCCAATGCCATTTGCAGACCATAGACGTGGCAAAGGGCACTTTGAGCAACACCATCACCTTCCCCCCTTCGGGCATGTTTGACGTATCTGCATCCATCCAAGTCGCCTCCGCACAACGCGTCACCTTCCAGTCAGTGTTATCCCCCTCCCCAAATACACACACACACACACACACACACACACACACACACACACACACACACACACACACACCACCTCCTGACAATCCCCCGTCTCCCCCCCTCGGGCATGTTTGACGTCTCTGCTTCCACCCAAATCGCCTCATATCAACGCGTCACCTTCCAGTCAGTACCGTCCCTCCACACAACCCCCCCCCCCCCCCCCCCCCCCCCCGCTCACCCCCAACACACACACACCACCTGATAATCCCCCCTCTGCCCCCCTCGGCCATGTTTGACGTCTCTGCATCCATCCAAGTGGCTTCCGCCCAAAGAGTCACCTTCCAGTCAGTACCCCCCCCCCCCCAACACACACACCTACCAATCCTCCCTCCCACTTTCCCCCTCTCCCCCTCTCCCTCCCTTACACGCACATGTTCAACATGTCTGCATCCATCCACGTAGCCTCCGCTCGCATCACCTTCCATCAGTATCCCCCATCACCTTCCATCAGTATCCCCCACGCATCTATCATCCCACTTAACCACCCCTTTCGCTCCCATCTCCCCCTCCGTTCCACTCCCTCTCTCCCACCTCTTCTTCTCCCCCTTCTCCTCCTCTCTCACACGTGTGACATGTCAAAATTGTATCAGTTTCTTCTCTCCAACGTCCTACATCCTATCAGCTCCCCTTCTTACCCGTGTTTGTCGCATGCATCTTCAGGGCTGCTAAGCCATGCCTTTGCTTGCCTTGCCTGGATTGCATTTATCAAGCTTCTTACCTCCCCTTCCCCACATCAGGTTCACTGGTGCTCGTCTAGTAGCTGCTTCGTGGACCCTACCTGTTCCAACTCCCGCCCTTTCGGGTTGACTCAAAAGTCGCTTCTTGCTTCCCCTTCCCCTCATCAAACAGGTTCACAGGTGCTCGGCTAGTCACGGCGTCCTGGACACTACCTGTCCCACCCTTTGGTCAAGGATGATGAGTGGAAATGTGCTGCTTCAGTGAATTCTGTGTGCCATTGTACGGTAACAAGGTAACTTTAGAGTTTGCTACATGCTGGATTGATCACTGCTTCGTGGACCCTACCTGGTCTGCTACTCGGCTCGGCCAATGATGGTATGGAAAGGTAGTCCCTTACAACGATCGTGAGACTTTTATTCAGAAGCACGAGTTGCCAGTTGTCCAATCTTTGCCCCAGATGCTGCTGCTCCAAGTAAGATGAAATTCCCATTCTATCACGCCACTCCAACAGGTTTGACAACACCTACATTGACAAGGAAATCCGCATCTCACGAGACTCGAGGGGTGACGTGCTTGTAACAGAGCGTTCTGCACAGGACTAGCAATACTGTGATACGATGCACTATGTATATGGTATTAGCTTTCTCAAAGGTGCATGGGCTGGACCATTAAGAAGCAGATCGATTTACCTTGTACTATGCATTTAAATGCAATAGCTTCAGCAAGTGTACAACATGGAGAGGCATGGAAGGTAAGGCATCACAGCTTATGCATGCTGTAAGAATCATGATCCTTGCTATTCACAGTACCAACAGCCATTGTCTGCTTCCCTTTCCAGAGAACAGCTGGGCTTTGACTATCACCCTGATTCGAATTTGCTTCAACATGGACTATAACACTTCTGCCATACGGTATATCTGCTGCGCTTGAGCTTGCACTACAAGATGCTTCACTTGGCATCCGCGGCAGTCTTGCAATCCCACTCAAACAGGCCGCAGGGTCCTGCAGACATGCAGAACGCACACAAGGTGAGGTAAGAGCTAGGGGCAAAACTACATCAAGTTTGTTCGGAGCAGACGGGTGACCAAGCCAGCTTAAAAGGTTATTCAGATTATACATCCGAGGACTGTAGATATACAATGCAGGAAACAGAGAGAAAGGGCTGAAAAGAATACGGTAGGATAGGAGTTCTTGTTTCTCTTACCCCAAGGGAACTCCTTGTTGCGAATGTGAAGGTAGGGGTATGCCTGCAACGGCAAAATGATTTGTGACCACACCCACAAGGGAGAAACAGAAATACCGCAAAAATGGAATCGGTTATTATTCCCTGGTAATTTGGAAGTATGCTGTGCAGCTTGCATGCACACCTCAAAACCTTGTCTAACTATAACGCTTGAGTCAATGTAGAAGTTGCATCTGAAGCTGGTCAAAGTTTGAATTAGAATTTGCCATATAGGTAAGCCGAAACAACGACAAGATGATACTGCACTACCTACACAACGACAAAATGTAAGAGTCAGACACACTCCCTCCTTGTACACGAGGACAGCTCTTGTGCACAATGTAGAGCTGCGCACTGGTAGTAAATAAATGATTCCAAACTCGACAAAAGCACCATATCATCTGTGTGTAAAGCCCGGTGACAGCCCATGACAATGCAATCGGCAAGCACCCATAATGAGTAGGTTTTGAAGGACTTCAGAGAATCAAACGAAATGTATGAGAAGGGTCACCCACCGGTCGGTCGTGCTTCGCGTGGTGAGCGGCTCCCGCAAAGTTGTAGACGCCCAGTGCGAAGCAGCCGACGATGGCGACCGCCGTGATGTTCCGCCACTTGATGGTCTCCTCTGTTTTATTCGCACCATCAAACACCGCAACGAACCACAATGCACCGCAACGCAACGCAAAGCGCAGCAGTGAAACGCAACGAAACCAAACGCGAAAGATGATGACAAAAGAAATAAAGTACTTCTGAGAAAAAAAATAGAAGTATTCATTAGGCTTTAGAATACGCGGACGACGAATGGGAATAGACTAGGAATAACCTACACGAGTGCGAATAAACGCCGTTCTTCTACCTTAGAACAATGCGCCTTGTGTGACGGTAACGAGGTCACTTGAGGCGACTCGAAAATCAACTAAGGGAGAGATAATAAAGGGTCCTCTCCAACGGTATGACAGCATCGCCTGGTCTGAAAACGGATATGAAGGACGACGAAGGCCTAACGTATCTGCTCACGCAGAGATCGTGATCAGCGAGGAACGCTCGTCACCAACAAGACGACGTTTGCATCCACTCAAGGGTCACCTCACGCAAAGATCTAGATCCAAAAAAGAAGAAGCTCTCTGCAGGTGGTCGACAATTCTCTTCTCACCAACGTCATGCGCGTGCGACGAGGCCGACGACATTTGCCTCGCGGACACGTTGCGCAGCATCTCCGCGCGCCTCAGGACAGACCGAGTCAGAGCCTGAGACATAGTGGTAGGCAGCGAAGGCGGGAAAGAAGGAGCGGATGGACGGTGGCGGTGCGGAGAGATGGAGTGGCTGCGTGAAAGGCGGAGCGGAACGGCGTGTGGGTGCTTGTCAGAAGACCCTGCTGTTGTGATATGTCTTGGATGCTAAGCGACTGTGCCGGTGGTGACAGGGTGAAGGAAATGGGGTTGGAGGGGGAAGGTGGTCTCGAGGGTTATTTGCCCTAAGCTGTAAATCCGTTTCTGGCGGTGTATATTGGTTTCTTATACAGAATAGTATTCGGTTTTGTCTCATGGATTCGTCAACCTTCTAACAAGGGTGGGTGTTGAGAGGTTTGGGGAAACGGAACTCCTCATACCAGGGCTCAAATTATGAAAACAATTTGAAGTATTTTTAAATCGATTTGTAAGGGGTTTCATCTAATAATGCACTGAAATTGCTAATAGTTTAGCTTACCTGATATAATATATTAGATTGTAGTCTGAATATAAACTGTTAATAGCGGAGAAGCTCGTGGCTCGTAAATGGTTTGTCCACAAACGAAACGAGCGGTTTGGCTAGCGAGGGGGGTGTTGTCAGACAATCGCAGACCGCGGGCATGAAGAACGACACTCGCAGCTGCTCGCTTGGGCGAGGCGACGGTATTGGTGTTTCAATTCGCGACAGTGAAAGACGTCGTAAGCAGGCAAACGTCTTTCCCGCTTCTGGTGGTTCCCCTTCCCCCTCATTTCTTTTCATGTCTACCAATTCGATCCATGTTCTTCTGCCTGAATTCGCCTGTCAGTGAAATTCTCCACAGGTCCGTTAGTTCAGTTCCGTCAGCTTAGCATCCTAAACCATAGCCATTGCCGGCCAGCAGCCTGAAACGGAGGTGTTCTTATCTCTTGTTATCACGCCTTTCGAGTCTTTTCTCTTTCTGGGCTTGTAAGCAGGCTGAATCTGAACTTCTAACACAGGGTAGTCATGGCGAAAAGGTTTGACCTCGATGGCAAGGAGATCGCACCCATCAGGATGTGCATTATAGGAGCAGCTGGTTTCATCGGATCGCACCTATGCGAAGCTTTGATGTGGGAGACCAACCATGTAGTGGTGGCGGTTGACATGTACAATGACAAGATCGAGCACCTGCTCGGTGATTCTCATCCATGGAGCGGCCGTATGGAGTTTCACCAGTTTAACATCAGCAATGATCCGCGTCTTGAAGGCATTATCAAGTCATGTGACTTGGTGGGTCTTGCTACTCTATATGCAACAAATGCTCGATGTTACCCACCCAAAACGCCTCATTAAGCCTTGAGAACTTGAGCACTAACGACGAGAATTCTTCGTGCAGACGGTTAATTTGGCTGCCATCTGTACTCCAGCGGATTACAACACAAGGCCGCTGGATACTATTTACAGCAACTTCGTCGATGCTCTCCCCGTGGTTAGTTTGTCTTCCAATCACAATGTACAGACAATTTGATTTCTCTAGCGTGACGTAACATAATGGATCCTCTTTTCAGGCCAAGTTCTGCTCAGATTTCAAAAGAAGACTGATCCATTTCTCCACCTGTGAGGTCTATGGCAAGACGGTTGGAGCATTTTTGCCTCCTGACAGCAACATGCGCAATGTAAGAGCCTCCCTTTCAAGGTCTGTCCTTAAGCACAAACGAGTGCCTGACGAGATTTTTCTTTGCTCTGAACGTAACAGGATCCCCAGTATTATGTGCTGAAAGAAGACGAAACGCCTTGCATTTTCGGCCCTGTGCAAAAGCAACGGTGGTCATACGCTTGTGCAAAGCAGCTCATTGAGCGGGTCATCTATGGTGAGCTGTGCACACCACTTCAGTTTGCTCATTTGGTGGCCTTGTTGTAACACTGGGACTAAATGGCAAATTGTGTGCTGTGCTACAGCTGAAGGGGCTGAAAATGATCTCAAATTCACCATCGTCCGCCCGTTCAACTGGATTGGTCCCCGCATGGATTTTATCCCGGGAATCGATGGCCCCAAGGATGGTGTACCCCGCGTTCTTGCTTGCTTCAGCAATGTAGGTCTTGGAGGTTTTGTAGACCGTGCTCCACTTTCGGTGCTCTTTGTCATCTCTGAGCTTGCTTGCTGTCGCCATGCAGCAACTTTTGCGGGGAGAACCGCTGAAGCTGGTTGATGGTGGGAAGTCACAACGGACCTTTGTGTACATCAAGGATGCAATCCGAGCCGTGATGCTTATGATCGTACGTCCACGCGGTGCTTTTGATTTTGTTTGCTTTTGCGTTCGCTTTTGCTTCTTGCTCAGCATGCTGACAGAGTTAATGTGTTGCAGGAAAACCCAGAGCGAGCAAATGGGCACATTTTCAATGTTGGGAACCCCAAGAACGAAGCTTCTGTTCGTGAACTGGCCACGATGATGACAAGGGTATGTCAGATGGCTGAAGTAGTCTATGAATGATTTCGTCGTTTGTCTCTAATGGCTGCTCATCTCATGTGATGCAGATCTACTGCAAAGTGAGCAAGAAATCAGAGCCTGCAACACCCACAGTTGACGTTACATCAAGCGACTTCTATGGAAAGGGTTATGACGACAGTGACCGCCGAATTCCAGACATGACGCTTATTCAGCAGCAGCTGGGTGAGTCTCCTCCCAATGTGTGTGTCATGGTAAATATTGTTGTGGCGTGACAACTTAACAGGCTGGAATCGTACCTTGCAGGTTGGGAGCCAGAGACTTCCTTGGAAGAGTTGTTGGATGTGACCTTGACATACCAGTACAGCACATACGCTGAGGCTATTCGACGGTCGATGGCGCAGACAACTGCAGCAACCTGAACCTGAAGAGACAATAGGACCAGGGTTGCCAGCAGCTCCAGGCCATAACTTAATCAAGCTGTAGTTTAGGGGTGCCAGCAGCTCCAGGCCATAACTTAATCAGGCTGTAGTTTAGCACTGAACATTGAAGCATCGTGGTTAGCAATATGGCATTGGCCTTTTATTTGATCGGATGTAGCTCTTTGTTCTTTGTAGGCTTCGGCAGAAATTGCCCATCTATTGGAGTTAGTGTACTACTCTTATGATGTTCTACAACAAATCTTCAGCTGAGAAAGCTGACAGGATGCAATACATAACCGGCGACCCAAGTTTTCCGTTCCGCAGTTCAAATCAATTTCCACACCAGATCCCTTTCCACCTCGTTTTCCTCTCCTTGCCACATCGTTCTCCGTATTGCAGACCAGTCACCAACAGCTGTCCATGCGACTACTCCACATCCTGCGGGATCGAGGCGCGAGTCAGATCTTGCGACGATAATACTGCGAGTCAGGTCCCATGGCTGGACCAGAAGGATCAAACACAGAGGAGAGCTCTCCGTTCATTAACATCCACTCGCGGGGAACCTCCTCACATCCGCCACTTCACGCTCCACCTGTCCACCGACCCTCATCACCCAATTCTCGAGACTCGTTTTTCTCCCTGCCATTCTCCTCGTTATCCACCACATTCTCGATCTCTCCAATCCGACGGCGAGAATGGGCTGTATTTTTCCGCCAGCTACTAGACCGGCGTTGGTGGGAGTCCGTTTCTCGTCATTTGCGTAACAATCCTCGCGAGTTCATCGCATCTGCATTCGCTACTAGCGACGGCTGGTTTCCCGGAGCGAAGCCGTATCTCGCCGCCCTCCTGATCATCCTCGTTATTATCACGCCGCTATGGCTAGTCTCTAGCATATCAGGAGCGAGTGTATATCTTTCGGAAGAAAATGCGGGATCAGATGGAAATTTGCGAGGGGAATGGAACACCAAGGGGGGACGGGATGGACTGGATGCCGTCTTGTGCCATGCAGAGGCGGTATACCGGGTGAGCCAATAAGATGCTTCTTTAGTTGACTCAAAAGTCACCTCGGGTGGGATTATGCGAGGGGAATGGAACACCAAGGCGGTGCGGGATGGACTGGATGCCATCTTGTGCCATGCAGAGGCGGTTTACCGGGTGAGCCAATGGGATGACTTTTGAATCGATGAATAGACAGATTCAGTGTGGGGAGAGAGCGCATAAGTTTTTGATGGAGTGAGCTCTCTTTCATGGCATGCGGAGGAAGCATACTGGGTGAGTCGATGGGTTGTGTGACTGTCATTTAGGCCAACATGGTCAGCAGAATGGCTTCACTAGGGTGGTATCTACAGCCCATGCTGATTGAAGATAGTTTATTTCTTAGTAGTAGGTACAAAAACTTGTGGATATTTTCTTTCCACCACATGTTCATGCGAGTACTGATTCCCAAATATCCCCACTCTCCCCCTCTTCATATCCCTGTGCTTCCCCTCCACATCCTGACATGCTTCTTTTCCCTCTTCCTCCTTCCCCATTCCCTCTCTCCCCACCACCTACAGGCCAACATGGCCAACAGAAAGGCGTCTCTTGGAGGACATCTGCAGCCCATGCTGAAGGATTTCCACCACATGCGCATGCACGTGCCCCTCCTCTCTCCCCACCTTCCCTCCCCCCCACCACGTCCCACTCTCACCACTCCAGGCCAACATGGCCAACAGAAAGGCGTCTTTAGGGGGCCACCTACAGCCCATGCTGAAGGATTTCCACCACATGCGCATGCACGTGCCCCTCCTCTCTGCCCACCTTCCCTCCCCCCCACCACGTCCCATTCTCACCACTCCAGGCCAACATGGCCAACAGAAAGGCGTCTTTAGGGGGCCATTTACAACCCATGCTGAAGGATTTCCACCACATGCGCATGCGCGTGCTCCCCTTCCCTCTCCCTCTTCTCTTCTTCCCACAAATCTCCCTCTCTCACCACCTTCAGGCCAACATGGCCAACCGAAAGGTGTCCCTAGGGGGGCACCTACAGCCCATGCTGAAGGACTTTCACCACATGCGCATGCGCGTCCCCCTCCTCTCTCCCCACCTTCCCTCCCCTCCACCACGTCCCACTCTCACCCCTACAGGCCAACATGGCCAACAGAAAGGCGTCTTTAGGGGGCCACCTACAACCCATGCTGAAGGATTTCCACCACATGCGCATGCACGTGCCCCTCCTCTCTGCCCACCTTCCCTCCCCCCCACCACGTCCCATTCTCACCACTCCAGGCCAACATGGCCAACAGAAAGGCGTCTTTAGGGGGCCATTTACAACCCATGCTGAAGGATTTCCACCACATGCGCATGCGCGTGCTCATTCCCACGTACCCCTGCCCCTATGAGGAGAGGGTGGGGGCGTGGGGCGTGGGAGGGAAGGTGCGCATTGGGGGGGGGGGGCTAGGGTTTAAGGGGAAGGAAAGGTGTATGGTGATAAGGAAATGGGAAGAATCAGGGGGACTTGTGTCACATGCGCTTGTGCGTGCTCTTTCCCACTCCTTAACCCAATAAGAAGAGGTCCCACCTACCTATTTATAATTATGCCTATCTCATTCTTAAACCCTTCCCTCTCATTCTCATGTCCTTCTTTCACACACACCCTCCCTCTAAACTTCCCTTCCTGCTTCCCTTCCGTCTCCAGTGGGTGTGACTGATATCATTGAAATGCCATTTCTTCCTGCCCCCTCTCCCTCCCGTCCTTCCATCCCTCTCCCGTTCCCCCCCGTCCCTCTCCCCTTCCTTCCCCTCCTTCCCTCCTTCCCTCCCTCTCAGTGGGTATGCCTGATTCCAACTGCAGTTCAAGCCAAGCCAGTTGTCTACAGGTGAGCCCTCAAAAAAGAGTCACTTGTTTTTACCTGTGTTTTCTAAGTGTCTAGCATACAAATGCAGACGTAGCACATCATGTTAGATGTTCGCCTACAGAAGCACATGGATCTAACCCCTCAAAGCTGGGTTGCGCTTCGCGTACTACCCTCAGTTTCACGTTCCACGTCTATCGCTCCCAGCCCTACATGCTCGACCCCTTCACCTCCCTTCTTCAAGCCCCGAGTCTCCCTCTCCCACCTGCTCCCTCGCCCACTCTCCTGCCACCGCTCTCCCCAGTGTGGGCAGTGACGAGGAGTATTCATTCAAAGAGTCCATGTTCCGCCACTTCCGCTCGCAGTCCTTCATGCTCGGCCCCTTCCTCTTCCCCCTTCAAGCCTCAAGCCACCTTCCCTCCCTCTCTCCCCTGCTTTCCCCCACGCCCGCTCCCCTGTTTTCCTCCCTCCCTCCCCTCTTCCCTCTTGTCCCCCCTCTCATTTTCCCCATTCTCTCCCCAGTGTGGGCAGTGACGAACAGTATTCATTCGGGGAGTCCATGTTCCACTCCTCAAACCTGCATACCCCCCTTATTCCCCCACTCGCCTTTCTTTTCCCCTCTCTCCTGCAACCTCGTCCTCCCTCTCCCCAGTGTGGGCAGTGACGAGGAGTATTCATTCGAAGAGTCCATGTTCCGCCACTACCGCTCGCAGCCCTACACTCTCCACCCCTTCCTTACCCTACCCTCTGTTTGACCCCCACTGCAACCCCCTCACACCCCTCTCCCCAGTGTGGGCAGTGACAAAAAGTATTCATTCGAAGAGTCAATGTTCCGCCACTACCGCTCGCAGCCCTACACGCTCCACCCCTTCCTGTCCCCTCCTCAAGCCTCACGCCTCCTCTCACCCTCTCCCCTGCCCCTCTCCCTCTCCTCCCCTCCTCCCCCCACGCTACCTCTCCCCAGTGTGGGCAGCGACGAGGAGTACTCTTTTGAAGAGTCAATGTTCCGTCACTACCGCTCGCAGCCCTACACGCTCGACCCCTTCCTCTCCCCGCAAGCCCAGGCGCGCATGCAGCTGCTGCGCTTCCTGCACTTTCACTCGCTGGGGCTGGCTGGGAAAGCATCGTTAGGCGACTACCAAAAATGGAATGTGACTTTCCGCACGCTGCCTGAATTGATGCAGGTAGGTGGGGAGGGCGGGGGACGGAAAGTGCGAGGGGAGCGAGGGAAGAGAGGGGAGGGAGAGGAAAGGGGAAAGAATGGAGAGAGAGAGAGAGAGAGAGAGTGGGTTGATGACTGCAAGCCAGTTTTTGAGAATTCTCAAAAACCAGAAAGAATGGAGAGAGAGAGATTGGGGTGATGACTGCAAGCCGGTTTTTGAGAATTCTCAAAAACCAGAAAGAATGGAGAGAGAGAGATTGGGGTGATGACTGCAAGCCGGTTTTTGAGAATTCTCAAAAACCAGAAAGAATGGAGAGAGAGAGAGAGATAGGGGTGATGACTGCAAGCCCAGGCGCGCATGCAGCTGCTGCGCTTCCTGCACTTCCATTCTGTGGGGCTCTCTGGAAGGGCATCGTTGGGCGACTACCAGAAGTGGAACCCGAATGACTTTTGAGGCGCCTCAAAAGGGCATCGTTGGGCGACTACCAGAAGTGGAACCCGAATGACTTTTGAGGCGCCTCAAAAGGGCATCGTTGGGCGACTACCAGAAGTGGAACCCGAATGACTTTTGAGGCGCCTCAAAAGGGCATCGTTGGGCGACTACCAGAAGTGGAACCCGAATGTCACGTTCCATACACTGCCCGAACTTCTGCAGGCAGAACGGGGAGGGATGGGGAGGAGGGAGCGAGGGAAGAGAGAGGCTGGAAAGAGGGGCAAGAGGGGAGGTGAAGTAGGTGATGAGGAAAGGGTAGGTAGGGATTGCAAGCCCAGGCGCACATGCAGCTGCTACGTGTAGATAGGTTATTTTTGAGATGTCTCAAAAATAACCTATCTACACGTGATGAGGACAGGGTAGGCAGGGACTGCAAGCCCAGGCGCGCATGCAGCTGCTGCGCTTCCTGCACTTCCACTCCGTAGGGCTGGCTGGAAGGGCGTTGTTGGGCGACCTTAGAAGTGGAACCGGGATGTGACGTTCCGCCTTCTGACCAACAGGATCTCAACCACACATACATCGGCATTCTAATGTGAGGAGGAGGTGATATTTGACACTTTTCTTGCTCTACATCCCAACACCCCTCTGGTGCCTCTCCCCTTACAGGATCTCAACCACGGCATCTTCTTACATCGGCATTCTGAAGCTCAGCTGCGGGGGGTGCGAGGAGGAGGAAGTCAAATGAGGTCATTTTCTATTACTATCTATGGTGTCTGTCCCAACACCGCCCTGTTGCCTCCCTCCCTACAGGATCTCAACCACACATACATCGGCATTTTGACGCTCAGCTGTGGGGGGTGCGAGCAGGAGGGTGATATTCTAACATGTTCTCTTGCTGAACATTCCACCACCCTCCCGCTCTTCCTCCCTCCCTACAGGATCTCAACCACTCGTACATCTGCATTCTGAAGCTCAGTTGCGGAGGGTGTGAGAAGGAGGTGATATTCGACATGCTCTTTCGTTGAACATCCCAACATCCCCTTCCTCGACCACCCATATGACAGGATCTCAACCACACATACGTCGACATTCTGAAGCTCAGCTGTGGGGGTTGTGAGGAGGAGGTGATATTTGATGTGTATGAGGGCAGTGTGAATGGGACTGCAGGGGGAGCAGGGAGGGGAATGCGGGAGAAGGTAGATCAGTTCCGGTCATTAGAAGAAGCAGCAGAACCAGCAGCACCAGCAGCACCAGCAGAACTAGCAGCACCAGCAGATGCAGCTGCAGCAGGAGAAACAGCTGCAGGTACTGGTGCAGCCGAACCAGCAGGTGCAATTGCCGAACCAACAGGTGCAGTTGCCGAACCAGGAGGCGCGGGTGCCGAACCTGAAGGTGCCAGTGGCAGTGGTAGTGGGGGAGTGAGGAACTATGAGGAGGGGAGGGAAGATGCAGTGGACCCTTCTGTTGGTGCTCGACTGGCCATCAATGGAGGGAAGCTTCCTTTTGGACAACTCGTTGTCGACTTTCATGAGTAAGCCTTGATGCTTTATCAGCTATATATATACCGGTATACATATATATAACAATTGGTAAGTGGTTTACATGGTTTATGTTGTTATGTGTACACCCTTGTCCTCTGGATGCAGGGCTGATGAGCCTCAAGAGCTTCTTTCCTTGGTGTATTCTTTGGAGACAGTTGGATATCGGATGTTCCACATCGAGGATAATCCTTTATGTGACCTATGCATTACAGGTAGCTTCATTCATGAAAGCTTGGTACAACCCCATGAATGGGCTAAATGCAACTCTGGATGAGGATAACAGCAACCATCAATAGTAATTATTATGGCTAAGCATTTTTCCTTGTCAGCGGAACATGGACAGCATGTTCATCAAGACAAAGTGGTTCTTCTCTTAGTAAACCTAAGCCGCCACTGCTCAGTTGACTTCACCAAGTAGATCTGATGAGGACTGTCAAGTTGATACGGTAGGAAGGAAATGAGAAGCGGTTTAGGCGTGTGAAATAATGTAGTTGCATATGCATTTGTTCCTGCATTCCTGTCACCCTTTGCTGTATCGGAATTTGGATATCGCCAACTTCACTAAGAAACTGACCAATCAACAGCCCTGATTTTTGTGTTTGATTTGTGCAAAATTGACTCTGATTGGAGAGGCGACGAATGCTGGCCAAGAAATAGCCCGCCAAAACAATTTAGCTTTCCTCGCCGACACGCTGATTGGACAGCTACGTCCGCACATCCACTCGGGTCTCTGCAAGTCTATCCCACTAAAAACCTCAGTACCGTACAGAAACTCATTAAAAGCTTTACCGGCCAGAAATCTGCTTTGCTCGAAGCTTTTTGAATCTGCATCATTGACCCTCGACTCCCTGAGTGAATCCATGGCTGGCTGGACATTCCATTCAGTCTGACTGATGAAGCTCAGCACGCTTGGGCGGGTGTCTCTGGAAAATGTTCAAGGCCGTGACTACCAGTATGTCTCAACGTCGAGCCCAGTTTGCCGGCCGCGACGTCGTTCGACATTGATATTCTGAAGTGGGGCCAGGTGGGTTTCACCAGGTGAAAGGTACTATTCTGGTATTTTCTAAGCGCCTGAATGTCTTCGCTGTGCGAGTTTTTCACCTTCTATTTCAGACACGGCAGATCCAGGCACAACAGATTCAGACACTCAGAGTCACTTTTTGTGGCAAATAACCATTTGCATTCAGGCATTTCCCAATGCATCTGACGAGACACCCTCACCTGCGCTCCCGTCACCTCTACGGTTGCGTTTTTCAACTGAAGCACTGATAGTTGCCTTCATTCAAAGAACGCTTTTGAGACGACTCAAAAGTAGACTGCGTTTTTCATCTGAAGCTTTGTTAGCTTTCTTCATCACATTCAAAGACGACAACCGACGGTGTCCATGGATTAGTTCGCCGTTCCAGCCCTTGTCATCAGGACCGTCAGTCCCTAGCAGCAGATCGAGTCGCGAGAATACATACAAAGGTTCTTTTTTTTTTTTGTGGATCCGAAAATGGCTGACAAAAACCTGTCAGACCTGCCAGTGTACGCGAGAACCGAGCCATCCATTAAAAACCTTCCTAGTATAAGCGAACAGGTCGGTAGCATCATCCGTCCGTACGTCATCCCCTTCGTTATCATCCTCGCTATAGTCATCCCCATCAACCTGGTCTTTCAGTCGACTCCTGGACTGCTCTGCAGCTGCTGGAGCCGCGGCGGAGGCTTCGAGTCGGCATCGTCGCTTCCGTACCAGCCGGCAGCGTCGCTTGCGTACCAGCCGGCAGCGCCTCCTCCGAACCAGCCGGCAGCGCATCCTCCGGACCAGCCGCCTATCCCCGGATGGGCTCAGGCTCTGTTCCCCGGCATGAGCGGCAATGACGCGGCCATCATTTGCCGTGCAGAGGAGAATTACTGGGTAAGTTTTCGATTTCAAGTCTTTCTTCTTTCCCTCCTTCTGAACCAGCTGCATGTCATTCTTATGAGCTTTCGTTTCCAGCATGAGCGAGCACCACTGACGCGGCTATTGAATGCCGTGCAGAGGAGCATTAATGGGTGAGTTTTCGATTCTGAGACTTCTTTTCTTCGTCTTTCTTGTGTACCAGCAGCTTATCGTGCTCAAAACCAATTTGGTGAAGTGGCTTTCTCGAGTCTCTCCTATCCTTCCGCGTTTCCTGTTTCCCAGCTGTGTTGACGTGTAGGCTATTGCGCTCATGTCCTCCTTTTTTTTAAGTCGAATAATTGAATCTTCTTCTAGCCCTTCACCTCAGCCTCCCCACGCGCAGGAGAACCTATGAGACGGACGGCGTGCAATGGAACGCTGTACCCGCCACCCGCATCGATGGCTGATGTCAGCATGAAGACGGTTGTGCTCGTCCCAGTGCTTTCTAAACTGCCTCAAGAGTTTGTGATATCCCCCTCACTCTCCCCTGCTCCCACCCTCTACAGGAGAACCTTCTGCTGAGACGGGAGGCGTCCAATGGAACGCTTTACCCGCCACCCGCGTCAATGACAAATATCACCATGAAAACGCTCCTTCTCATCCCCACGTACTCTTGCCCGGTGAACGAGCGCATTGGCAAGTGGGGGGACGGCGGAAAGGTGAGTTCTGAGTTGACCGAGGAAATCGCTGCTGCATTCGTTGATGCGTTTACGCTTGAGAAAGAAGCAGCCATAATTGAATCACTTCTGAGAATACAAAAATGTGCACCCGTGCTCAAATGAACCTTCTGTGTTACAAACCCAGCTAGCTGCAGCTCGAAATCTTCCAACTTTTTTCTCTGTTCAATGTTCCACCCAATCTCCCCAATCTCCCTCTACCCACACAAATCACCATTTGCCCAACCCCCTCCTCTTTCCCGAAACGCCAATATCAGTGGACTTGCCTTCTGCCAGGCGCCATTCAGACGGACCCTGTGGTGTACAGGTGAGAGGGGGGAGATGAGGAAATTGAGGAGGTGACGGTTTTCAGGATTGAGAGACGAGACATGGGCAAGTGATGGGGCAGTTTAAGTAGAACAAATAAGTAGAACAGCTCTTCACCTTGTGAGTGAGCAATATTTGAGAATCAAATAGATGTGCGTGTGTGCGCGCAAGCGCGCGAGTGTGCCCAATCACTTGGTAGCCCGGCTCTTCACCTTGTGTGCTCCTCACCACTCCCATCGATCTTTCCTCGTTTGGTGCCCAATCATTCCCCACCACAGCATTGGCAGTTTCGGGCAGTACGATTTTGAAGACGCCATTTACAAGATTTTGCATGTGCAGCCGCACACGTTCGACCCGTTCCTCCACCCCAGCACCGCCGCCCACATGCAGACCGTCCCCTCCCTCATCTTCCACCCCATCGGCCTCTCTGCAAACTCCTCCATCGAGTACAACCGCCAAAAGTTTTCTGGCGCTGAGTTCATGACTCTGGGAGGGATCATGCAGCTGTTGAATCATACATATGTGGACATTTTCAAGATTGACTGCGAGGGGTGTGAGGAGGCGATGATTGCAGAGTTTGGGGAGGCGAATGGGAATGTATCTGCACAACTGAGCTTGCACGGAGGGACGCTGCCGTTCGGGCAGATCTTGATCGAGATTCACCAGTAAGTCTTGATGTATGGTTGTGTGTGGTTCGTGCACTCCAACAGTGAGTTTACGGCAAAAGAAAGAAAGGAAGAAAAAAAAAACGAGAATATGATCCGCCTTCATCACTTAATATTGTTCTCCAAGTGCATGTGCACAGTCAGCCGTGTTTGCACAATGCGACTAGGTAGTTGACAAGGATTGCCGCCCGTTTCTTTGTCCGCATTCATTCTCCCCACACAGTTTCTTCCCTCTCCCTTTCTCAAACCCTCCCTCTACCAGAACGAATAAACCCGTGGTCACCTTGGCACTGGTCTACACGTTGGAGAAGCTTGGGTATCGCATGTTCAGCGTGGAGTTCAACCATGAATGCTGGCATTGCTGTGAGTTGAGCTTGATACACGAGAGCCTCGTGCAGCCAAGTAGCGACAAAAACTGCCCCCCGTCTCTGGCTTCGGAAGAGTTCTTCAAAAAGGAAGCTGCAGATGCGCAGGAAAAGCTGGGTTCAGGAGATGACGTGAAGGAATCAGGTGGAGGAGTCTTAAGTACATCTGACGCTAGCACCCCCGGGCCGTGATGGAGACGTGGCATATTCTGAGTTCTAACGCAGGTGTCAATAGTTGGGAGAGCTGATGAGCCTCTAGAGCTTTTTTCCCTGACAGATTCTTAAGAGAGAGTTGGATACTGAATGTACACTCCCTTATCTGATATATGCATTTCAGGTGGCTTATTTTGTGAAAGCTTGGTACAACCCAATGAAAGGGATAAATGGAGCTTGGCGTGACCACCATGAAGTTACTGATAGTCCAGCTCTCATAATGTGAACAGCACATAGGTACTATTGTTTGACCTCTAAGCGAGGTATTGGGAAGCTATTGTTCTGATGCTTTCGTTCCATCCACCTTCTCATAATATCATTCTAGTCGAACCCTAATCGAAATCAGAGGCGTTTCGCCGAATTCAAGGAAAGCCTGACCAACGGGAAAAGGCGGCGGATGTTCTCCAAGAAAAGCCCGCCAAAACATTCCGATATCTCCACTGACACACACAGGACCTCATTGGATGGCTGCATTCGCGGCCGGCACTTCCATTGCTGACGGAAATGCACATTGGATAGCAAACAACATCCCCTACATTCACTGAAACAGAGGCCGATTCATGAATCCATCGCTGCCTACTGCACATTTCGGTTGCTCCTTTCAGGTAGTCTTAGTTGCGTTTCATGGCTGCGTTAGTAAGTTCCTTAAATATCTCGTGCTGATATTTGACCTACAGACTTTTTATAACTCGCCGAGTTTACTGGCTTCGGATTCAGGCACAGCAGATTCTGGCTGGCATAATGAATGCACCCTAGTCTTGCAGCGCATATGCATTCAGACCTTTCCTGGGGAAGCCATGAACTATACTTGCAGCCTCGACTCCTGCATTTCTCATCTGAATATCTGATTAGCTTACTCATACTCAAACCGGCCATACATACTAGAACTGAATCAGCTAAAACCGTTTTTAGAGCTAGCCGGTTAGAGCATGGCTGAAAAACAAATGTCGGACTTGCCCGCCAGAGCCGAGCCAGCTCTCAACACCATTCGTTCCATGGCCGAGCCCGCGTTACAATCACTACGCACCATAAGCGAACAGGTCGGAAGCACCATCCGTCCGTACGTCATCCCCTTCGCCGTCATCCTCGCTATAGTCGTCCCAATAAACCTGGCATTTCAGTCAAACCCCGGTCTGCTCTCCAGCGGCTGGCGCAGCGGGGAAGGCTCGGCAACGTCGCTTCCGTACCAGCCGCCTAGCCTCGGATGGGCTGCGTTTCTGTTTCCCAGCATGAGTGGCATTGACGCGGCCATTTGTCGTGCAGAGGAGAATTACTGGGTGAGTTCTTATGTCGGCATTGACTCAAAAGGATACGGTTTTTTTAGTTTTTGTTTTTGTTTTTTTCTGCTTCTTATGTACTTTTTAGTAGACAGCAGGCGATCATTCTTGCTGAATCGGCGTTACGAGCCTGTACTATCCTTCCGCGTTTCTGTTTCTCAAAATGAGTTGCATTGATGCGGCAATCTGCCGTGCAGAAGCAAATGAACTGGGAGAGGTTCCGGCTTGAGATCTCCCTTGTCTTCGCTTCCATATATCGTGCGTGGCGAATCGTTGTTCCGTGTCTTTGCTATCCTCTCCACCCCCACCCTCTCCCCACCATCCCCCGTCGTCTTCCCACAAAACAACCTTGTGCTGAGACGGAAGGTGTGCATCATAACGCTGTAACCCACAGTCCCTCTCCCGCTCTTCCCCCTAATGCCCTTCCCGCAGGAGAACCTTGTGCTGAGACGGAGGGCGTGCAAGGGAATGCTGTACCCGCCACCAGTGCAGTACACACCTGTCTTGATGAAGACCGTTGTGCTCATCCCCACGTACCCATGCCCGGCTAACGAGCGCATTGGGGAGTGGGGGGATGGCGGAAAGGTGAGACAAAGAAGCGACTAAAATATTCCAGTGCTCTACAAATTCTTGGGTCCCAACTTTAGCTTGCTGCGGGGAAACCTTTCAACTGCCTCTACCCACCCCAATCTCCCGTTCCCCATCTCAACCTCTCTCTATCCACCCTAATCTCCCTGTGCCCTTCCCAATTTCCCTCTACTCATCCCCTTGTTCTTCCTGATCCCCACAGTGGACTTGCTTGCTGCCAGGCGCCATTCAGAAGGACCCTGTCGTGTACAGGTGAGAGGGGGGGGGTGGGGAGGGGAGGGAGGTGAGGAATGAATGGTGCTATTCGTACATGGTGCTATTAGTGGATGGTGATAGTGAATGGTAGCGGCGTCATCAGTGGACTGGTCGTCCTCCCTCCACCTCCACACCATCTGCCTCTCTGCAACCCTTTCTGTTTCTGATGCCCCTTGGAACAAACAACCTCTCCTCCCTCCACTTCCACCCAGTCAGCCTCTCTGCATGTTCACCTTCGACCCATCCTCCCTTCACGCAAATTCCTCTCCCCAAGGGCTTACTCTCCCACTCTCTGTGCTTACTCTTCCCATCCAATTTCCAGCATTGGCTGTCACGGGCAGTACTCATTCGAAGACTCAATCTACAAGCTTCTGCACGTGCAGTCACACACGTTCGACCCGTTTCTTGATCCAGCCACCACCACCCGCATGCAAAACGTCTCCTCCCTCATCTTCCACCCCATCGGCCTTTCTGCAAGCTCCGTCCTCCAAATCTACACCGCCAAGTTCCCTCAAAAGCAGTTCAAGACACTAGGAGGCATCATGCAGCTGTTGAATCATTCATATGTGGACGTGTTCAAGATTGACTGCGAGGGGTGTGAGGAGGCGCTGATTACGGAGATCGGGGCGGCGAATGGAAATGCAGCTGCGCAGCTGAGTTTGCACGGGGGCACGCTGCCATTCGGACAGATCTTGGTCGAGTTTCACAAGTGAGTTGAATGAAAGGGAAAGCACCCAGGAAGAACTGGCTGTGGGACTGGTTCTAAGCACACCAAGTTACAAAGACTGCTGCCTGTTCTTAACGTTTATTCCAAGCTCCAAACATTCTTATTCCTGCTTTCTCCCTCTCTCACTTGCTTACTTGTTTTTCTCCCTCCCTCCACCAGAATGCACCTGCCCCAGGTCACCCTGCCGCTCGTCTACACGTTGGAGAAGCTTGGGTATCGCATGTTCAGCATTGAGTACAACCAGCAGTGCGCGAAATGCTGCGAGATGAGCTTCATTCATGAGAGCCTCGTGCGGCCAGGTAGTGATAAGAACTGTCTCCCATTTCTGGCTTCGGAAGTGTTTGTAAACAAAGAAGATGCAGATGCTGTGATGCAAGAAAAGCTGGGTGCAGGAAGTGACTTGAAAGAATCAGGTGGAGGAGGTTGAGTATTTCCGATACTAGCACCCCGTGGAAGTCGGACAATGGGAGCTATTCCGGTATGAGCACATGTAAACATTATGCTGTGTAATCACATGTTTTGTGAGGTGCTGTCAATCTGTAACGTTCTTGCTCAGAGGACAGGTGCTGAATTATTGATAAAAACCAATAGCTATAAAGGGATTGTTTACAATATGTGGCTTGCAGGTATGTTTCTGGCATGGTAAGGTCCCAACCAGAGAGGTTTCGCCTACAGCTTCTGACAAGCTAATGGACAGTCTGAATGCAACTCTGGATGACAATGAGAGCAACGTCAATCAACCAACTATACATTTGTTGTCATCTCACGCTACGTGAACATAATATCTACAAGTTGATGTCAAAATGTCATTTGCTGTGTAGGCTGTAGTGGGGTACTCAACAGAAAGTACAACCTTTTTAAGGTTCCTACATGTATCCCACTTGCCTGCTAGTGCAAACCCCTCTTCTGTTCTTACCATTTCTGCTTGCTTATTCTAACATGCTATCAGAGCAGGTTGACCCTCCTTGGTCGATCCTGTGGATGGGCCCACCCTACTGCTTCCGCTGCTATTCTGTTAGTCGCGCGCCCCAGGCGCGCGACATTTTTCAGCCCGCCGCGCGCCCCGTGGTGTGCGGCGGTTTTCTGCGCCCCGGGGCGCGCGGCGGTTTTCTGCTCGGCGCGCCGCCCCCGTGGACCCGCGGGCGCTGCCCTGTGGCTCCCGCGCGCCTCGGGGGGGGGGGGGGGGGGGGGGGCAGTTTTCAGCCAGCGAGCCGCCCCTGCAGCCCGCGAGCCGCCCCTGCAGCCTGTGCGCTGCCCCTGCAGCCCGTGCGCCGCCTCTGCAGCCCGCGCGCATGCCCTTGCAGTCGCTTGGCAACTCCTACCCTTCTCCCCCGCCTCCTTCTCCCTGCTACGCGTGCATGTCAAATGATATATCTGCTGTATATGTTTAGGCTTTAGTGGGGTAGCCAATATGGGGTACAGCCCCTTTTAGGGTTTCATATTTGTACCCAACCATTTCATAGTTCATCCATTCCTACTGCTAGATTCTAACATGGTTTCAGAGCACTAGGTCCGTAGGACCGTTTTTTTTTTCGGGCCCACCTACCGTTGCGGTTACCGCGCTACCCCACGTGTTGTCCTGCGCCTGCCTGCCTTGCCTTGTGACGTGCTGCGCTGCGCGCACCGTCCTGCAGCCCTCGCGCTGCCTACTGCTGCCCTAGGCCAGAGCGCCGCCCGTGCAGGCCCGTAAGGCCCGCGCGCCGCCCCTGCAGACACGCCAGGCCCGCGAGTCGCCCCTGCAGGCCCGTCAGGCCAGAGTGCCGCCCCGCCAGGTCGCTGACGCGTCAGGCCAGGTCGCCGCCCTGCGCGTCGCGCTCGCTGCCCGCGCGTCGCGTCCGCTGCCCGCGCGTCGCGCTGCAGCCCCGCGCGCCGCGGCTGCCGTCCTCCACAGCCCGCGGCGGCTTCGCGCGCCGCGCCCACAGCTCGCGTAGCGCGCTGCAGCCTCGCGCGCCGCGGCTGCCTCTGTTCATCGCGACGCCTCCCCCCCCTGGACGCCGCCCCTTCCTGACTGCCGCCATCGCTCCTGCAGCAGCTGCCGCGGAGCGCCTTGCCACAGTCGCGGCCCCGCCATGCAGCAACTGCCGCGGAGCCTCCTGCCGCCATCGCGGCCCTGCCCTGCAGCAGCTGCCGCGGAGCCTTCTGCCGCCGTCGCGGCCCTGCCCTGCAAGCAGCTGCCGCGGAGCCTTCTGCCGCCGTCGCGGCTCTGCCCTGCAGCAGCTGCCGCACAGCCTCCTGCCACGGTCGCGGCCCCGCCGTGCAGCTGTCACGGCCCCGCCCTGCAGTAGCTGTCGCGGACCTGCCCTACCGCCGACGCGGCCCTGCTCTGCTGCAGCTGTCGCGGCCCCGCCGTCGCCGCCGTCGTGCGCCTGCCCTTCCCGCCACTGGTGAGCACCTGCCTTGTTCGCGCACTGCCGTGCCATCTCCCTGCCTGTCTGCCTACCTACCTGCTTGCTTGCCTGCATGCCTGCCTGCCACGCCTGGCTGCCTGCCGCGCCTGCCCTGCCCGCGCTGCTACTGCTGCTACTGCTGCTCCTTTTGTTACTACTGCTAGGCTACTGCTGCTGCTGCTACTACTGCTATTTTTTTTTTTTTTTTTTTTTTTTTAAATCATTGATAGTGTATACCGATACAGGCAAGCATGTACCATCAAACGGTCGTAACCGTGCGTGAGGGACAGCAGCCTATCTACTGTTCCAGGTGAGCTGCCAAGGGCGAGATGTCACATGCCCTAAAACCACTGTTCCAAATGAGTTGACTAGGACGAGCCGTTGCATGCCCTTCGCATGGACCACAGAGCAGCAAAAGCAGGCTTCCATGTCCAGCTCCTGCCATCCATCTTGATCCTGCCCAGCATTTTCTGCTCCTCCGCAAAATTTTCCTTCAGCCGCTTCTTCCGTATTGCCCCCATTTTCAGCATGTATATCTTTGCGTGCAGTCTAATAGCAGCTTCCGCCTTCCACAGCACTCGCTTGGCCCGGAATTTCTGCCCCCGGAAAACGGCGTCACACCTCTCCTTCCAGACTTGATGGAGAACCACCGACGTAAGAGTTAGCTCTGGAAAAGCTGACCTGGTGCCCGTTTTCCGGAACAGAATATCGCCCAGCGAGGCAGTTGGGCGGCTGGGATTCAGCATGCGTAGAGCGCGCCGAAGAGCCGAGATCACCACTTGTATCCTGGGGCACAGGATAAGGCAGTGCTCCATCGTCTCTTGCTCCCCGTAGTACGAGCAAACTGGCCTGCTGCTGAGGAACGCCAGCCTTTCCCCCACCTGCAGATTCAAGCCGTGGATGCGGACGAGGACATCTCTTGGACGGCTGGGGACCGCCAACGAGTCCCGAGTCAACACCACCCGCTTCCAATCGATAGGGTTTCCCCACCGCACACCCCACTTCTGCTGCTTGTACGATTGGCCGGAAGCCCCCTTCCACCCATCCTTCATCCGCCTCATGGAGACCACCCGCCCTCCTTCCAAAATTGGAACACGCAGGGGAGAGCCAGCCGAGCGTGGAGGGACTGTAGGGAAACCCAAAAGCCTTTGCCAGTAAGACGGGATCGCTAACAGCGCCTTCAACGCCAGCTTAGCCGACCCGTTTCCACCCAGCTCCTGTTTCAGCACCGCCATGGATTTCACCACCGTAACCCCATCCTCTTCACCGTCCAACAGATCCCCGATACAAGTGTGTTTCAGGTTCTGCGCCTCTTTCTGCCCGCCGATCGGATTGGTAAGGTTGAGTAGAACATCTTTGTTGAAGAACAGTTTCTCCTGCAGAACCTCCTCCCTACTCCCCACCAGGTTACTGATCGAGAAAGGCGACCTCATGAAGCTCTCCGCTGTCTGCTTCCACCGAAGGCTGCAGCTGCCCCAGTGCTTCAGCAATTTTTCATGCGCGGTAAAGGAGTCCACCCCCATCAGAAGCTTCGCCGCCCGCTCCATGAGGTCTCTTTTAAGCTGGTTCCGCTCCGTGATGAGCAGTTCGACCCTCCTCGCCGCCAAGCATGTGATAAGTATCTCCGGGTCTCTGACCCCGATCCCGCCGTCCAGTCTCGGAGTATAGAGCAACTCCCTGCTCCAGAGAATAAAAACTTTTGCAGTTGCAACTCCGTTCCCCGATATAAAACTGTGTAGTAGTCGCATGATTTCCAACCATATTGCTGCAGGCGGCGAGTAGACTTGCGCCTGGAAAGCCAGAATCGGTGTAATGTAGAAATTGACGACTGTCGCCCTTGCTGTGATTGTCAGGTACTTAAGCTGCCACTTGGTCAGCTTCTTCGATACACGACTCCATGTCTTCTCCCAAGTCGGCTGGCCGTTACCGGACGGCGTAAACCCACACCCCCAGAAACCGCTCGGCCTCGTCCGCTTTGGCCCACTTAAAACAACCGGCCCCACCGTCAGACGCTCCGATGTTTGCCCCCAGAGGTAGTATCACTGATTTCGATTTGTTTGTTGCCAGCCCCGATGCCTTTCCGAAACGGTCGAGAATCTCCTCCGCCTGACCAATCTGCTCCCTTCCTTGCAGGACGAGTGTCGTGTCGTCTGCGTACCCGAGGTAACCAAGTCGGTGCCCTTCCTTCTCAAGACCGAGCTCCCGCCTTTCCACTTCCTGAGCTAACGGCTCCACCGCGCATAAAAACAGGTACGGCGCCAGAGGACACCCCTGCCGAACCCCAGAGACCACCTCAACTCCTTCCCCGAGCCAACCATTAATCAGCAGCTTGGTTGTCGTTCCCTCGTGCAGGCCCTTCACCCAGCCGACAAGCCGTTCTGGGAAGTCCATTTTCTCCAGCACATCGAAGAGAAACCCCCGCGAGACCGAGTCAAACGCTTTCTGGAAGTCCACCATAAGCATGTACCAGTCTTCATTCCCGCTTTTGCTCCTTCGATAATGTCCGCCACCAGCGCTACTGCATCTGAGAGGCGGCGACCGGGGATGAAGCCATACTGCTCAGGTGAAATGACCATGTGAAGAACAGATTTCATGCGGTCCGCCACCACCCTAGCCAAGACCTTGTAAGTGAAATTTAGCAACGTGATTGGACGGTAGTTATTCAGTTGCTCCTTATCTCCCTTCTTGTGCTGCAGAATCGTTACGGCTTCCTTGAGCTCCACCGGTAGAGATGCACTGCTCTGAAAACTCTTTGCCATGACCATGAAGCTTTCCCCCAACAGGTCCCAATGTGCCTCGAACAGCTCCTTCGGCAGACCGTCGCTGCCGGGGGATTTGTTCTTCGCCATCTCCGCAAAAGCTTTCTTAACTTCTTGCTCTGTCCAGTCCGCTGTAAGTGTCTCAGCCACCCCAGCATCCAGGCGACGAGCCGGACGGAAGCTCCACTCCGCGCCCTCAACCCGGCGATCCTTTCCTAAGATGTTCCTGAAGTAGCGCGACGCTGCCGCCAGAATCTCCTTCGGACCAGTGATCGACACCG